TGCCGGGCCTCTCCGGCCACGCGGTCTTCGATCTTCTTTGCCGTGCAGCCCGTCGCTTGCTTGGACGCGCACACAAAGTATAGCCTGCAGTAGCAGTGGAAAATAATAGCAGCAGCATCTTAGCACCATCGCCCATTCTAGAATTCCCGAAACTGACTTTGCAAACCGCAAAAAGGAGGGTTTTGGAACAAAATGTCACAGGCCCACAAAATGTCACAGGCCCACAAAATGTCACAGGCCCACAAAATGTCACAGGCCCACAAAATGTTTCAGAGGGTAGATCTGACACTATCACGCTGACTATCTCTATTCTGAAGCAGCTTTTCTTTTCATACCCAGTGAGTATGCAAGAAAGTATCATGGTGGACAATAGGCGAGTCGCCTTTTTAACGATAGCGCGACATCAGGGTGTTGCATGAGACTTCAAACTTTGTTCGGAAAGGGTGGCAAGAAGATTGCAACCTTACCTTTTCATCTGTAGGCCTACAATGCGCTTGTGTGATGTCTTTCTCCATTTGTACTCTTCAGGTGGCAAGTGTTGCACCTGATTAGAAGTTGTGCGATGCGTCTGAAACTGCGTCTGCGGCGCATTCGGCGTGTATTGCACCATTTCACTGAAGGCCATCGCTGAGGGTAACCCAGCATTAGCATCAAGCTGATTCTGAATATCATGTGTCTCTGAACTTGATCTTGAAGCTGAAACCCTGAGGGTAGCAGGCTGGGGCCACCGCGGCATCGGACAGATCATATTGTCGTGCTGATGTCGTTGTTGTTGAATGATGTGCTGCTGCTGCTGTTGCTGCTGCTGCTGCTGCTGCTGCTGCTGCTGCTGCTGCTGCTGCTGCTGCTGCTGCTGCTGCTGCTGCTGCTGCTGCTGCTGCTGCTGCTGCTGCTGCTGCTGCTGCTGCTGCTGCTGCTGCAGCTGCTGCTGCTGCTGCTGCTGCTGCTGCTGCTGCTGCTGCTGCTGCTGCTGCTGCTGCTGCTGCTGCTGCTGCTGCTGCTGCTGCTGCTGCTGCTGCTGCTGCTGCTGCTGCTGCTGCTGCTGCTGCTGCTGCTGCTGCTGCTGCTGCTGCTGCTGCTGCTGCTGCTGCTGCTGCTGCTGCTGCTGCTGCTGCTGCTGCTGCTGCTGCTGCTGCTGCTGCTGCTGCTGCTGCTGCTGCTGCTGCTGCTGCTGCTGCTGCTGCTGCTGCTGCTGCTGCTGCTGCTGCTGCTGCTGCTGCTGCTGCTGCTGCTGCTGCTGCTGCTGCTGCTGCTGCTGCTGCTGCTGCTGCTGCTGCTGCTGCTGCTGCTGCTGCTGCTGCTGCTGCTGCTGCTGCTGCTGCTGCTGCTGCTGCTGCTGCTGCTGCTGCTGCTGCTGCTGCTGCTGCTGCTGCTGCTGCTGCTGCTGCTGCTGCTGCTGCTGCTGCTGCTGCTGCTGCTGCTGCTGCTGCTGCTGCTGCTGCTGCTGCTGCTGCTGCTGCTGCTGCTGCTGCTGCTGCTGCTGCTGCTGCTGCTGCTGCTGCTGCTGCTGCTGCTGCTGCTGCTGCTGCTGCTGCTGCTGCTGCTGCTGCTGCTGCTGCTGCTGCTGCTGCTGCTGCTGCTGCTGCTGCTGCTGCTGCAGCTGCTGCTGCTGCTGCTGCTGCTGCTGCTGCTGCTGCTGCTGCTGCTGCTGCTGCTGCTGCTGCTGCTGCTGCTGCTGCTGCTGCTGCTGCTGCTGCTGCTGCTGCTGCTGCTGCTGCTGCTGCTGCTGCTGCTGCTGCTGCTGCTGCTGCTGCTGCTGCTGCTGCTGCTGCTGCTGCTGCCGCTGCTGCTGCTGCTGCTGTTGCTCTTGGTGAAGTTGGCCGCTTGCACGGACAGTTTCCGGCGGATGATCATGCTCCACGCTGTCAATGCTTGGGGCTCGCTGATCCGTCGAGCTCTGATCCGTTTTCTCTGCAGAGGATTCCAGAACAAGAGTCGTGTTGAGTCTGGCTGAAATAGACTCCATTAGACGGCCTGCCAGGTCCAGACTGTGTGTTGAACGCCACTGCTGAGCAAGTTTCTATATCAGAACTGGAGATGAAAGCGTTGCGGCTGAGACTACTGCCACGAAAATGACTGATGTTAGAGTCAAAATGACTGCTTAGTAAGCACGTTCATCGGAAACGTTTGCTTCGACAAATGTGGCGCCGCCCTTCGACAAATGACTGCTTAGTAAGCAAGTTGCTTTTGGTCCAGTGACATGTTGTGGAGTGGCAGCAGGGTGCCAGGCATAGCTGGCTGGATGTGGTCGACTGATGAAGGGGAGGGGAGGGGGTTGGGTTTGATGTGGTGAGGAGGGTTGTGGGGGTGGTTACAGGGGATAACTCTCGGCGCAAATTAGCAATCTCAGTGCAGTTGAGGAGGGGCATGCCATCTTTCATATCCGAACCCAAGATGGCGTTCAGAAAAGTTCCCCCAAAAGTGCAGATTTTCGGGTCCAGCGTGGCAGTTTTGCAAACGGCCACACCCTATCCACGTGCCATACGAAGGTGGATACACAGATAGACGAGTTTGAGCGAAAGATCAAACCCAATCAGGTGCGTGTAACCCCAGCAATTTCAAGATCGTTCAGAACTCGTTTTCGTAAGGTCTTGGTGTTAGAAAAAAATGCAAGCTGGGGGAAAACGAGGGCGGTCGGGGGAAGGGGGTTCAGGGTCACGTTAAAATTGTCAACTGATCAATTGAAACCTATGAAACGTTTCTAAGTGTCACTGTTCTTCAAGAACAAAGGTTGCTTGATCAATGTTCGAGGCGCACAAGTGGTTTGAAGCACTAGTCGTGTCGTTGTTTTATTTCACCCACGCCTGCCTGACAGCACGTGTTTCTGTTATGAAAACACAGTTCAGGCCAGCCGGGAAGGTCCTCCTGTATGCGAAATCAATTGGCTTTCGCGAAACCCGAAATCAATTGGCTTTCGCGAAACTCGAAATGTTTTGTCTCATTGGCACAGTAAATGCACTGGGCAAGAGAAAGGCTGCGTTGTGTAGGCATACGCCGAGGGAGGGAGGAGGGGGGGCGAAGGTAATTGACGAGGGTTCCTAAGCAGTTTCCCCTTCGATATCAAAACCCCCCCACCGGCTACAACCGAAAGTGGGAAATTTCGGATTCTCGGGTGGAAGGTTCTGAAGGTAAATGACGAAAAGACAAGAACAATTTCGCACGCACACTTCATGGGCTGTTTGCTTTATAGGGTAACAGCGTGGTGTTCCCTATCCCAGCGCCTCCCTTCCACCTCCATCGCACCACCCCGAAAAAGCAGCTTTCGTAGGGCGGGGAGGAGGCAAAATTTGCCAGCGCAGGAAGGTGGGGAGGGGAAATGGGCAGCTTCCTACGACCTCATATCCTCCAGGGTAAATGGGAGGCTCGGAACCATTTTCTGGGCTGACCGCCCTTTCGATCCAAAAAATGAAGGTGGGGGAAGGTTCCTATTTACCACCTCCCCTCCTCTGGCGTGCCTACAGAACGCGGCCCCCGCTTTGAAATCCACGCCAAAAGTGAGGGTGTGTCCCAAGCGTTCGTTTTTGCACAAAACCATACCCCACCAGTCTAGATAGAGAATTGACCGTTGTACAACGTAAAGCATTTCATTGAGCCGCATTCGGACGAACACGTGCGTGGGGCATTCCATGCGCGCAAGCAAATGGAATCTCCCTAAGAAGGGGCCCTCTCCAGTTGATGAGAATTTCAGACCCTGTTTGTTTTCCGGGTCTGCTCCAGAGTCCTGCAGTATTTTATGGGAAAACTCGACATTTACAGGGTAGATGGGTGACCTGAGGTCTGAACTTGGGGTTTCTTTGGTTGCCCGTACGCTCCCTCTTGTTTGTGGGGCCGCAACAAGTTTGCGTAACGGAAAGTGCTAGTCGAGCACGTACACTTGAAGCACGCATAAATCTATGATTCGAACCGAACACCGCATGGGCAATTCTCGATGGTCATGGGTAACGGCACACAGTTTACTTTGACTGCAAAAAATCTACTCATGTCTCCCATTCAATATTCTGAAAGCCAAACCTGGTAATCATTAATTTAAATGGTTTCCAGAAGACCATAGAGACGATAAGGGCTACAAATGATGATAATGTGTGAATGGCGCAAACCCTTTTACATCGAATTTGGATATATTATCCACTCACATGAGACGGATTGTTTTTGTTGCAATAATCACAATAATTTAATGAATTAACTTACACAAGACACGTTCTAGGGTAAACAAAAAATAAATCTGAAAATGTTATGAAAGGGGCTAGCTCTTCTTCAATAGATACTTAGGAAGAAGTGGTAACCCTATTACGAAGTTCAGGCCGGATATCCGTCCAGCTGTCGGAATGCGAGTGAGGAGCATTTGTATTTCTTAAAAAAGAGAATGAAATGGGAATCCAGTGTAGGCGCCGTATTGCAGCAGCAGCTGTCAGTTCAGTCAGAATCAAGTAACCGCAAAAGCGAATTTTGGGAACAGTACAGTTCACCGAAAAAAGCCAGGCTGACAAAGGTACTGTACTTGCTGAGAGTCGCACCGCTTGTCGTACTTGGAAAGTCGAGGGGATGCGTCTTGACAAAATTGTAACTGTATAGTGAAACACAGCCCAGCTCTTTAATTTTACTACACACATTATATATCTAAAATGTTGGATTCATTATTGGCGATCTCCGGGGCTGGACAACGCCACGCCTAACAGAAGTCTAGTCTCTCCTGGTGTAAGCGTATAAATATCACCGTGCCACCACCCGAAGTGCCATAATTGTTTTAACGACGTGTGGTGACAATACGTGCGAGCAGCTTAATGCGTGCATACGGTACTAAAATTTTGATCGTTGCAATGGTAGCACCTCCAATAGCACCCAACCCATGATTGACCTCTATCGTTACATTCACGATATCATGCGTCCTCCTTAGGGTGTTGCACCCATACAGCACCTGCCTAGTTGGTGGGTGGAAGTTGGAGCCTCATCAACGCGGTAATGCATGCAGGGCCATCAGCTCGACCCTCGGTCACAACTGCGAGTGCCAAGCCACTACTGCAGCGGCGGCGAGTGACAAACCATTTGGCAAGAGGCCAAGTGGAACCGCTTCGAACCACGGCGAGTCTGGAAACTTTAGGAATCCTCCACTTGAGGCCTCAGCAGCAAGTCACCCTGTAGCAAGACCGACTCATTGCTTCACAGCGGCAAAGCACAGCACAGACGTTGCTCCTGCATGTGGTTCACGTGAGCATCAATGCGCTCATCCCAGGGCCCTATCCCCGTGCACACCACATACCAAGTCAGGCTCATTGCTTCACAGTGGCCAAGCACAGGGCAGCAGACGCCCTCTCCTGCATGCGGTTCAAGAGCGCATCGAGGTGCTCATCCCAGGGCTCCATGCCCGTGCTCCTCCACTGCTGCCGCTTCCACCGCCACTCCATCATGCTGCAGGAAGGAGAACAAAGCGGTGCAAAGCGGTACAAGAGTCATAAGAAGCAACAGATCCAAGAAATCAAGAGAGCATCTATGCGCTCATCCCAGGGCTCCATGCCCGTGCTCCTCCACTGCTGCCGCTTCCACCGCCACTCCATCATGCTGCAGGAAGGAGAACAAAGCGGTGCAAAGCGGTACAAGAGTCATAAGAAGCAACAGATCCAAGAAATCAAGAGAGCATCTATGCGCTCATCCCAGGGCTCCATGCCCGTGCTCCTCCACTGCTGCCGCTTCCACCGCCACTCCATCCATCATGCTGCCGTGGGAATGAAAGGGAGACCAGAGGAGAAGGACGCTCTGCAATGCGGTTCACGAGTCGAAGCAAGCAACAGATCCACGAGATCTACCAGAGTGCTTGAGGAATCAGTATATTCTATCCAGGCAACACACGCAGGCAGATGCGTAGAGACTAAGGGAGCCCACAGCTGCCTTCACAGCTGCTTGCATTCGAAGCATCACTCATCTTTGACAGCTGGTGTGTCTCCCGCTCAAACACCACTCACCGCCTGACAGCTGGCGTGTCGCCGCACCCCGTCAGGACGAGCAGCAGCGTGTTGGGCGGCAGAGACTCGTGCACCTGCCCCACCTGTGCGTCCACCTTCCTGGAAGATTCCTCCACTGCACAGTCGGCTGGATGAGCAGGTGCCGATTGCTGCTGCTGCTGCTGCTGCTGCTGCTGCTGCTGCTGCTGCTGCTGCTGTGCCTGTGCCTGTGCCTGTGCCTGTGCCTGTGCCTGTGCCTGTGCCTGTGTCATTGTGGTCTCGAGAACGGATGGTGATGATGCAGGTTTGGGAGCAAGCTCAGGTGTAGGTTTGGACGCAGGGCTGGTGGTACGTGTGGAAGCAGGTTCGGAGGCAGGTTCGGAAGCAAGGGCAGCGGCGAGTCGAGGCATGGAGGCGATGGAGGAGCAGCGGGCGGAGAGGGAGGCCATGAGGGACGGGAAGGTGGCGACTAGGAGGTTGAGCGATGGCTTGCACGCCTGCCCATGGGAGTGGGGGGAGAAAGAGGAGGAGAAATAGAGGAGAGAGGGGAGCGAGAGCGGGGAGAGAGGAGGAGAGGGGTGAGAGAAGGGGAAAGCGGAGGGATGATCAGAATGCAAGGTGGGGAGAGAGGAGAGAAGAGAAGCTACAACCTCACCCTGTTGTGACATAATCCAGCCTTTTGTTGCATACCTCTCTGCTCACAACCTTCCCCAAACCAAGTCCCCATGCTTGAGGCTATCTCTTTTTTTGAGTCAACTACAAAGTAAACCTGTTCCGTACCTCTCTGCTCGCAACCTTGCCCAGGTCCCCGTGCTACAACCTCACCCTGTTGTGACATAATCCTGCCTTTTGTTGCATACCTCTCTGCTCACAACCTTCCCCAGGTCCCCGTGCTTGAGGCACAGAACTTCTGACGTGCAATTCGAGTTGCCGCCCAGAAAGAGGTCCGGCCTGGCAGCTTGCGACTGCAGCACGACGGTGCAGTGCCGCCCGGAAGAGGAGAGGCGCGTGAGAATGTTCTCCATGTGGTGCAGCTTTGAGGCTCTCCGAGGCAGGCCGAAGTGCGGGCCTGCGAGGGGACAAAGAGGGAGAAGATGGTTTGAGGGAGGCGTGTGAGAATGTTCTCTGTGTCGTGCAGCCTGCACGCCCTCCGCGGAAGGCCGGAGTGCGTGCCTGAGAGGGGCTGGAGGGGTGGTCTGAGGGAGAAAGGCGGGAGGGCGGGAGGGAGGGAGGGAGGGAGGTAGAGTGGGTGGGAGAGTGGGTGGGACGGTGGGACGTAGGAAGTGAAACTGTAGCAGTGAAATGGCTGAAAGCTGAAGGGTGAAGGCACAACCTTTGATTCTCTCTACATCTAAACCTCGCAATCCCACCAACGTGAGTGTACCATATTACCATGTTACTGTGTTATGACGAGACCTTACCGTGTTACAGTCAACGATGTTATGGTGTTACGATGTTACCTTCGTAGCACATTACTGCGTTACAATGATACCGTGTTACCATGTTATTCGAATACCACGTTACCATGTTGTATCTTGAGGAGCGCGAGGTCAAGAGCAGCGCGTGCATCCTCCACACTGTCATGCCCTGCACTGTCCGATGCCACTGTGCCCTGCTGCTCCTCTGCTTCTCCCTCTCTCGCTGCTCCTCCTCCTCCTACTGCTGCTACTCCTGCTGGTGCTGTGGCTTCTGCTGCTGCTCCACCTGCTGTGCTCCCACAAACAGACTCATGCCGCACGCCGTTTGCTGCCACCTCTCCCTCACCACCTGTTCCTCCTGCAGCTGTAGCCGCTGCTGCTGCTGCTGCTGCTGCCGTCGCCAGTACCGCTGATGTTGCCGGTGCTGCTGCTGCTGTTCTCTCTACTGCTGCCGCCGTAGACAGTACTGCTGCTGTTGCCGGTGCTGCTGCAAATGATTTTTGCGAGCCAGAAGCATTACGGCACCACGTGTTACTCCCGCGGTAACCACCCGCAGCACCATCACCAACACCACCTGCCACCGCCGCTGCCGCCGCTGCTGCTGCAGCAGCAGCAGCAGCAGCAGCAGCAGCAGAAGCGGTACCGTCAGCACCACCACTAGCAGCACCACCCCTCCCTCTGTGAAACGACCATCCCCCTCTCATCCCCCCTCTCCGTCCCCTCCCTGCTCGCCCCTCCGCCCCGCCCCTCCCCGCCCACCACCCAGCCTGAATGGTCCTCCCAAGGTAATCCGCTGCTAGGAAACGCAGAGCGCACTTGAAGGGCGGCCCGCGGGGGTGGGGGAAGAGCAGCGATGTGTCGATCACGCGCAGATGGACGGCCCGGATCGCGTGCAGATCGCTCTCGGTGGAATGGCCGACCAGGATGGTCTCTGCACTCACTATGGCGAGAAAATGCTCCTGATGGGGGAGGGTAGGGAGTGGGGGACGGGGGGGGGGGGTGGGTGGGGGGGGGGGGGGGCGGAAGGGATGGGAAGGGATGGGGAGGTTGGAGGGGTTATTGATGGAGACGTGTCAAACAAAAGTTGCATGCAGATCGCACTTTGCAGAATGGCCGACCAGGATGGTCTCTGCGCTGACTATGGCGAGAAAATGCTCCTGATGGGGGATGGGAGAGCAGGAAAGGGGGAGTGGGAAAGGGTGGAGTGGCAACGGGGGGAGTGGGGACAGGGGGAGTGGGGACAGGGGGAGTGGGGACAGGGGGAGTGGGGACAGGGAGAGTGGGGAGTGGGGGAGTGGGAAAGGGTGGAGAGGGGAGGATGGAAGTGGGAAGGGGGAGGGACCAGAAGGGGGTCGATGCGGAGAAGAGAGGGGGTATTGTGAGCAGTGCATTGAAGACGGCGACTTTTGAGGCGCCGCAGAAGGGTTGGAACGAGAGTAGATGTTAAAGGTACCCCTCTCACCCACCCCTCTCACCCACCCCTCTCACTCGCCCACTTCACTCATTCACCCCTCTCACCCGCCCCTATCACCCACCCACCCCTCTCTCTCCTCTCAACTCCCCCACTCACCAACCCCTCTCACCCTCCATTGCCCACCCCTCTCACCTGTGCCTGTTGCAGTGTGGTTGTCACTCCTGCCAGCATCTGTGGCGTTATGCCAGAAAACCTGGAGGGAGGGAGGGAGGGAGGGAGGGAGGGAGGGAGGGAGGGAGGGAGGGAGGGAGGGAGGGAGGGAGGGAGGGAGGGAGGGAGGGAGGGAGGGAGGGAGGGAGGGAGGGAGGGAGGGAGCGAAGGAGGGAGGGAGGGAGGGAGGGAGGGAGGGAGGGAGGGAGGGAGGGAGGGAGGGAGGGAGGGAGGGAGGGAGGGAGGGAGGGAGGGAGGGAGGGAGGGAGGGAGGGAGCGAAGGAGGGAGGGAGGGAGGGAGGGAGGGAGCAGTGCATACAGGTTTCTATGGTTCTCTCTAAAAATCTGTTAAAAAACAAACCTGTCCATTGAATGACACCACAAAAGAAATCAAGAAAAGAAAAGAAAAGAAGAAAAAACGTATAACTCATCAATGCATAAAAAAGGGGGCAAGAGGGGGAGCGCGGGAGGGGGTGGGGGTGGGGGTGGGGGTGGGGGTGGGGGTGGGGGTGGGGGTGGGGGGTGGGACAGGGGCGAAAGAAGCAACTGACGCATTGGTGGTCAGATCAGAAGTCGACAAGAAACAAAGCAAACGATGCACTGTGGCATGGAGTGGGGTCTGCAATAATGGGGGAGTGGCGCACTAATTGTGGGCTGGTGGGGCTGGTGGCGTTGGTGGGTTGGGGGGTTGAGGCACTCACTGCGTGTTGTAGTTGGTGATGGGGCTTTCCGGCTTTACCAGCTCGTCTAGCAGCACCTGGTGTGTTTGGAGGGAGGGCAGAGATGGCAAGGGACGGGCAGAGAGGGCAAGGGACGTGCAGAGAGGGCAAGGGACGGGCAGAGAGGGCAAGGGACGGGCAGAGAGGGCAAGGGACGGGCAGAGAGGGCAAGGGACGGGCAGAGAGGGCACAGCATGAAGAAGGGGGCGCATTGGTTGATGGGCTGGTGAGCCTGCTTGCTCATGTCTCACTGCGTGTTGTAGTTGCTGATGGGACTCTCAGGCTTTACCAGCTCGTCTAGCAGCACCTGGTGCACGGAGTAGGTCGAGTCACCTGCTGGATCCAGGTCGAAACTTTATACGTATGCTAGCAGCACCTGGTGCACGGAGGGCAAGGGGGGCGCATGGAGAGCACGGGGAGAGGAGAGGGTGTAAAGTGGAGGGGTCAGGGAGTAGAGACCTGTGCCCATCCCATACCCCCTCACCTCAGGAAACCTGTCTGCACCTGGGCGTACCTTGCCGTGGGCATCCAGCAGCGTGGGGCGAGTGAGCTTTGAGGCGCCTCATGGATGCACTTTTGAGACGTCTCAAAAGGCGAGTGAGCTTTGAGGCGCCTCATGGATGCACTTTTGAGACGTCTCAAAAGGCGAGTGAGCTTTGAGGCGCCTCATGGATGCACTTTTGAGACGTCTCAAAAGGCGAGTGAGCTTTGAGGCGCCTCATGGATGCACTTTTGAGACGTCTCAAAAGGCGAGTGAGCTTTGAGGCGCCTCATGGATGCACTTTTGAGACGTCTCAAAAGGCGAGTGAGCTTTGAGGCGCCTCATGGATGCACTTTTGAGACGTCTCAAAAGGCGAGTGAGCTTTGAGGCGCCTCATGGATGCACCATTGCCCTTACCTGAACAAACCTGCCCTCACCTGTTCCGACCTATCCTCACCTTGGCGTACCTTGCCGTGGGCATCCAGCAGCGTGAGGCGGGTAAGTTCCAGACCCCTGTGGGTGTTGCACTGGCGGGGACCGACCGAAGGGAAGAGAAGAAAGGAAGGGTGGAAAAAAAAACGAAAATGGGGGAGGGTGAAAAAAAAAAAAAACAAGAGCAGATGCGGAAGGATGAAAAGAATGGAAACAGATGGGGGGGAGTGAAGAAAAAAAGGAGCAAATGGGAAAGGGTGAAAACATTGAATGTACCACATATGCAAGACATGTGCAACACATATGCATCAACGCACCCAACCCTTTCTGCCTGGCCCCCCTCTGACCCCCACCTCCTGCCTTCCCCACCCTCTGCCTGTATCCCTCCCTCCCTCCATGGCACTCACCATTTCACAGTCAACAGCCACCAAACGATGGTACCCCCTCTGCTGCTCCTTGCCTCCCCCTTTTGCTTGCTCCCCCCTCCTCTTCCCCTCGTCCCATGGTTGAGTCATCACATACCCTGCATGAATGCATGCAGTGCACAGGTCAGCACACACACAGGTTGAGCCCTGCCGCACATAAGCCCTGCCTCACATATTTCTTGACCCTGTTCGTGCCTCTGCACCATTCTCATGTGGACGCGTCAAAAGGAGACGATGTGAGGCAGCTAAGAGATTACATGGAGCTCGCTCAAAGTTAAAGAACCTGCCCTGGAACGTGATATGAATCATTAGAATCCGACATGGATTTACTGGGACCTGACCCGGGCTCGAGTTGACTTTTGAGTCGACTCAAAAGTTTACTGGGACCTGTCGTGAGCTCATTGAGACGTAACCTGGAACAATTGCAATCTGACCTGGAGGGGGAACAGCCGAGCCATCAGCAAGTGAGATGCTGCCGCCTGCTTTCCGGGCAGCCTCTTTCCCATCCTGCCCGTCTCGCCCCTTGTTGCCCGCCGCCACGGGCAGCGGAAAATTGTTTTCTTTCAGCTGGCGCCACGTCAGCAGGTAGTGCTCGGGAGGGAGGGGAGGCTTTGACTTGAAGGGGAGTGAGGAGGATGGGGAAGAGGGAGAGCAGGGCGCGGATGGGGAGGACGGAAGTGGTGGAGCTGGTGTGTGTGTGGTGGGCCCTTCAGCAGCACACACTCCCTTCTCTCCCTCGCTGCTTGTCTTCATTGTCTTTCTGCTTCTCCCCTCCCTTTCTTCTTCTTCTTCCTCTCCCCCATCGCCTAGCACCTCTGCCTTCCTCTTTTTACCACCTCCTTTCTCGTCGCCCTCCTCCCTCTCCACCTCCCCTTCTCCCTTTCCTTCTCCTCCTTCCTCCTCACTCTCAGAATCAAATACCTCTCCCTCCTCCTCTTCCTCCTCCCCGTCCTCCTTTTCCTCCTCATCCTCATCCCCCTTATCTTTCTCACTCGTCTGCTTCTCTTCACCTCCCTGCGAACCCCTACTCGTCCCCTCCTTGCTTTCACAGCCCACACCGTTTGCCACACCTGCTTCTGCCTTGCCGCCCGCATGTGCTGACGTGGCAGCAGCTGGTTTGGCAGACGACGAGCTGGTGCTTTTCTGGGGGCGGCAAAGTGGTGAAAAGCGGGCGGCAGAGAGGCAAACAGTGGCGGGCAGGGAAGCGAATACTGGCCGGTAAACAAAAATAGCCGGAAAAGTGGTCAATTATGTGCGGCAAACAAACGGGTGGCGAAGTGTTGAATAATGGGCGGCAGATGGCAAGAAGAGAAGGTTGAGGGCGGCCCCATGTGGTCCGAATCGATTCACGTCAGATTACAAGCGCTCTGTCCTTGCTCTTTCGTACACAGCACAACGAAAAAAACGCCGACACATGCTTCTGATGTGAGTGGTACATGCCCAACCCCCCTGCCATGACCAGTCCCCCTGCCATGACCTATCACCCTGTGGTAAAAAGAGTACCTTGAGAGCAACGGGTCGGGCAAACATGGCCTTCATTGTGTCTGATACCGTTGCTGATGGGCTGATGGGGGTGTGGATGGTGGGAGGGGGAGGGGGAGGGGTGGGGGGATGGTGAGGTGAGGGATGGCATGGCAAGACGGGTCGTGCGATGCGAACATGGCCTTCATTGCGTCTGATACCGTTGCTGATGGGCTGATGGGAGGGCGGGAGGGTGGGGTTGAAGGGATGAAGAGGGTAAGGCAGATGGAGACATGAGAGCATGGCCCTCGTGTGGGACACTGTTGCCGATGGGCTGATGGGTACATGGTGGGCGATGGGCCGTGAGGGGGGGGAAAGGAAGATGGGATGGGAAGGCACTGCTACTGGGGTGAACGGGCTGAGCTGAACGGGTGATGGAGAACTGGGCTGATGAGGGAATTGAAGGATGGGGATTGGGGGGGATGGGAGATGGAGAGAGTGGCAGGCAGATGAATTACAAGATAACGAGCGGATAGCACGAGCAAAGGGATGGACGGACGGAACAGAGGGGAGGACACAAGGGGAGGGCATGGGTGGGGGGAGACATGCTTCGTTACCTCACGGCCTTCAACGGCAGTGATTTGCCGCCAAAGCAGCGGTGCAGGTTCGGGAAGAGGTCCGGGCGGGAGTGGAAGGTATGGGCGTCAATTCCCGGCACCAGCAGCACCACCACCCTTGATACCAGCGGCTTGTTCTGCCAAGACGAAGGGGCGAAAGGGGGGAAAGGGGGGAAAGGGGAAAAAGGGGAAAAGGGGAAAGGTGGGGGGGGGAGGGGGAGGGGGTGGGAAGGAAATGATTCCTGGCACCAGACGCACCAGCAGCACCACCACCCTTGATACCAGCGGCTTGTTCTGCAGGGCAGGTGAGGAGGGAGGGGGGAACGGGGGGAAAGACGAGATGATAAAGGGAAATGTAAATCACTAAGGTTGGTTTGGCCTTAAAACCCACTTCAGTAGAAGCCCTTGGCTCGTATTTCAATGTGAGGACTCAAAATTGGTATGCGTGCATGCATGCTTCAGTTGGTAGTATTCTGCAACTGCAGGCGAGTGCGTGCGTGCAGCCATGCGTGTGCAATGCAAGGCCAGATGTGAATGCTTAGGCAGAAGTACAGTACAGCGGAACAAGGATGGAAGATAAACCTTAACAGAAAATGCATGTACCCACACATGCTGCCGCCCACCTTGATGAATGCCCACTGCGGGTTGACCTCCCCTGTGAACACCCAAAGAATCAAATCCTGCACATCCTGCCAAACCAGGCGAGGCAGGGTGGCAGGGGAATAGTGAGTCTGGAGACAGCATGCAAGTGAGAATTCTGAGGGCATCTCACTCATGAGCTATGTGCCTCTCTTCTCATCTCATCCCCGAAATCTCTTGCCTCTGAAACCCAAACCCCTCACCCCCAAACCCCTCAACCCCTCACCCCTCACCCCCAAACCCCTCAACCCCGGAGGCACTGACAGTGAAACTGAGCGGCTTGGCGCGCTGCTCTGCGCCCTTGCCCACAGGCGGGCGCAGCTCCAGCTCCGCACGCGCCTGAGGGGGAAGGGGAGGAGGGGGTGGGAGAGGAAAGAGGGGGAGTACGCGGGGAAGCGGGAGAAGGGGCGGCGAGTGATTGGGGGGAAATGGGCGAGGGAAAGGAGATGGTTGGCGTGCGCTTTGGCAGACGGAGTGGAACCCAGCGGGAGGGGCCGGCCGGTGGTTGAGATTCAGGGGGGAAAGGGGTCGGTTTGAGGAATATGCCTAACTGCACCCATACCTGCCATACAGTACAGGTCGTTCGTAGTAGTGCTTGGGTTGCGCCCTTGCTGAAGAGTACGCTCACCCTCGCCCCGCCTATACACCTACGGCCCTCAAATACATCTCCCCCCCCCCAGTCTTTCCGCTCGGCGGGCCACAACATCTCCCTTGCTTCACGTCGCCCATGCCCGCGAGCACTGTTGTTGCCTGAATACAACCCCACCCCCCCCCCCCAAACCCCCCCTCGCGCACCTGCGCGCCGTACACGTCGTAGTAGTGCTTCGCGGCGCCCATGCCCGTGAGCACTGTTGTTGCCCGATTCCCCCCCCTCTCCCGCCCTCTTCCCCTCCCTCCCCGCCCCCACCTGCGCGCCGTACACGTCGTAGTAGTGCTTCGCGTCGCCCTTGCCCGCCGCCACCACCTTCTTGATCTTCTTCGCCATCCGACGGCCCACGCGCGCCCTCAGCTCGTCCACCGCGCCGCCCCCTCCCGCCTCCGCCTGCTCCGCCTCCGCACCCCTCTCCGCCCTCTCGCCCCCCTCCGAGTTTCTTTCCGCGGCACCCGCGGCAATGCCCGCCGCAATGCCCGCCGTCTCCACGGCCTCTTCGTGGCCCGCCCTTGGACCGCGCTTCGACTGGTCCATGGTAAAATTCTTAGAACGGGGTTTAAATACGTTCAAATTGGGTCGGTTCGAATGAACGCAAAGTGAAACGACCACCACCCGTGAAATTGGAGTTGATCCGAAAGATGCTAGGTACGGCGGCGGGAGACGGAACGCGCGACGCGGGCCGCGAGACGCGAGACGCGAGGCGCGAGACGAGACGCGGACGCGTAGGAGATTCGGTGCTTACAGCGTCTTCCTGATCATGTCCTTGCGCACACAGTGAATAATCCTCTTGCGGACTTACTGCCTCCAGCTTCCCTTCCTGGGCTTCTGTTTGTATCGAGAGGAGGATGTATACGCGTTACTGAAAAACATCGGGAGCTCGGAAAGTCCCCGAAAAGAACAGCTCAATTTGTTCCACATTATCATCCATCACTGGCCAAAAGCGCTATTCCACACACCCCTCTTTTCTTTATATATTTTGGGGGGATTGAATGCACAAAGAATGTAAATTCATCTCAGCTTGAGTTACTGCTGAAGCCAAGACAAGCTCCTTCTTGATATTAGCTAATACGGTATCTTACTGTTCCAGAACAAGGGGCACGGCGCACCCCTTAATAAGGATGTAGCATGTAAGAGAACTTGACTTGAATTCTCTTATCCTTTCCTTCAATTCAACCCACCCAGGCTAGTCAACAACACCAACCCCATCATCCAACACTGGGAAGGTACCGGTACTGTAAATAAGGTTGATTCGTCACTGGCTGTTCTATCCAGACAAACACACTACTCCTTGATCTCTCTCTCCCACTCCTTGGTCCATCCCTTCCCCTCCTTGATAGATCCTGCATTGTTCATTTCATGCTCGCCAGGGGAAATTCACGTCCCCCTCATCATCTGACACGGCCGCTAGTAGTGGCTCCTCCCTCAGCCAAGGGAAATTGCCGTCGTAGCAGCTCCTTCCCCTCCTTCCATTCCGCGTTCACGTCACGCTCGCCAAGGAAAATTCACGTCCCCTTCATCATCTGACACGGCTGCTGGTAGCGGCTCCTCCCTCAGCCTCCCCCCCATTTGCATCCGCCACGACCGATCCACTAAGGGGGCCAGCTTCCTGCAGAGAGATGGAGAGCGAATGTGACAATAACGGATTGGAAACACGAGCTGACAACAGGGATGGCCTGTATTCCTGCCGGAAGAATCACATGAGAGATATGGTGAATCACATAAAGAATCACAAAGAAACCCTCAAGCAGCACCTGAAATAACCACTCATTTCATGAAGACCCTGAAAAATCACCTGAGGTCGTGGCTGACAACAAGGATGGAGCGCTCCCTCTTCAGTGCCTCCAGCAGCCTCACCACGTCCGCCCTTGCTCTCCAGTCTGGGCGAGAGAGGGGGAATCAAAGGCCAGAGAGGAGCAGGAAAAAAAAAAAGGCGAGACAGAAAAAGAGAGGGAGGAAGAAGAAGAATAACAAACAATGGTGCCAAATGACATGTACGCAAAGCCTTCAGCTGTTTCGATCCGACCATTTCGTTTCAATTGAAGAAGCAAGCGCGTGGCTCATAGCAGCTAGCGCACTATTGAGGCATTTCATGGTTTTAAAGCAGTCAGGCGGGCACTTGAGGGTGTTTTTGAGACGTCTCAAAAACACCCTCACTTCACCTAGCGCACTATTGAGGAATTTCATGGTTTTCAAGCAGTCAGGCAGGCACTTGAGGGCCATCAATCATCAATTATCACACGTACCAAGCCCAGCAAGAGGTTCGTCCAGCAACAGCAGCTCCGGCATCCGAACCTGAGAAACAGGTGCAGGCAGTTGGTTTGGAACGTTGTGCGGCAAGGGTAGGGGCAAAGGAAGCAGTCGGTGACTGAAGCATGGCATAATGACATGGACTGAGCTGGCTTGTTTAGAAACTCAAAAGTAAGCATGGCATCGTGAACTGAGCTCGTGCTGCTGCTGTGCGGGTTCCGTGTCTCTGAGACACGGCACTCAAACAAGGCATTTGTGTTGCCCGGTCGTCACTCAGGAGGTGCGGAGAGCAGTGACGAGCAGGATGGCGAGACTGGCTAGCACGAGGGCAGCACGAGGCGGCTGACTTGACCATTGATTACTCGGGTGTGGGAAGGAACGGAGAGGAGAGGAGAGGAGAGGACTGACGAGCTGAATGGCGAGGGCGAGGCGGCGCTGGTTGCCCCCGCTGAGCGCACGCGGATTGGTGTCGAGAGCCACTCCCATTAGCCCCACCTGTGTGTTGGGAAGGGGGGAGTGGAGGGGGAGTGGGGGGTTGAGGGACGTGGAGAGGAGGGTGAGTGAGGGAGAGGAGGATGCAGAGGGAGGGACTAGCTGAGAGCACGCGGGATGGTGTCGAGAGCCACTCCCATGAGGCCCACCTGTGTGTGGCGGGTCAGTGAGCGTGGGAGAGGAGGAGGCAGAACGTGGGAGGAGATGAAAGCATGTGGGTTGGTGCCGCCTGCACGCGGGCAGCGAGCGAGCGCCTGCGGCCTGCCAGAGTGTGGAGTGGAGTGGAGTGGAGTGCATCAAAACTCATAATGGAATAGCTGCAAACCTGAAGAGACGCTTAAGGGGAGTGAGCGAGCGAGCGCCTGCGGCCTGCCAGAGTGTGGAGTGGAGTGGAGTGGAGTGGAGTGCATCGAAACTCATAATGGAACGCTGAAGAACGCTGAAGAACGCTGCAGAACGCTGCAGAACGCTGCAGAACGCTGCAGAACGCTGAAGAACGCTGCAGAACGCTGAAGAACGCTGAAGAACGCTGCAGAACGCTGAAGAACGCTGAAGAACGCTGCAGAACGCTGAAGAACGCTGCAGAACGCTGCAGAACGCTGCAGAACGCTGAAGAACGCTGCAGAACGCTGCAGAACGCTGCAGAACGCTGAAGAACGCTGCAGAACGCTGAAGAACGCTGCAGAACGCTGAAGAACGCTGCAGAACGCTGAAGAACGCTGAAGAACGCTGCAGAACGCTGCAGAACGCTGAAGAACGCTGAAGAACGCTGCTGCAGAACGCTGAAGAACGCTGAAGAACGCTGCAGAACGCTGAAGAACGCTGCAGAACGCTGAAGAACGCTGCAGAACGCTGCAGAACGCTGAAGAACGCTGAAGAACGCTGCAGAACGCTGAAGAACGCTGAAGAACGCTGCAGAACGCTGAAGAACGCTGCAGAACGCTGAAGAACGCTGCAGAACGCTGAAGAACGCTGAAGAACGCTGCAGAACGCTGCAGAACGCTGCAGAACGCTGCAGAACGCTGCAGAACGCTGCAAACCTGAAGAAACGCTTAGGCAAAGTGGAGCGAGCGAGCGCCTGCGGCCTGCCAGAGTGTGGAGTGGAGTGGAGTGGAGTGCATCAAAACTCATAATGGAATAGCTGCAAACCTGAAGAGACGCTTAAGGGGAGTGAGCGAGCGAGCGCCTGCGGCCTGCCAGAGTGTGGAGTGGAGTGGAGTGGAGTGGAGTGCATCGAAACTCATAATGGAACGCTGAAGAACGCTGAAGAACGCTGCAGAACGCTGCAGAACGCTGCAGAACGCTGCAGAACGCTGCAGAACGCTGCAGAACGCTGCAGAACGCTGCAGAACGCTGAAGAACGCTGCAGAACGCTGAAGAACGCTGAAGAACGCTGCAGAACGCTGAAGAACGCTGAAGAACGCTGCAGAACGCTGAAGAACGCTGCAGAACGCTGCAGAACGCTGAAGAACGCTGAAGAACGCTGCAGAACGCTGAAGAACGCTGAAGAACGCTGAAGAACGCTGCAGAACGCTGAAGAACGCTGCAGAACGCTGAAGAACGCTGAAGAACGCTGCAGAACGCTGCAGAACGCTGAAGAACGCTGCAGAACGCTGCAGAACGCTGCAGAACGCTGCAGAACGCTGCAGAACGCTGCAAACCTGAAGAAACGCTTAGGCAAAGTGGAGCGAGCGAGCGCCTGCCGGAGTAAAATGTCCTCCACCCCATTCGTGACACTGCAGTGCACTACCTGCTTACCAGCCCACCCCACTTAACCCCTCACCACCACTCCACTCTACCCCTCACCGCTATGAGCGCAGCCTGCACGCGGGCCGCCAGAGCCTGCCGCAGGGAAATGTCTTCCACCCACTCGTGACACTCTCTGCGTACCAGCCCACCGCACTGCACCACATCCCACCCCTCACCAGCCCTCCGCACCACTCCTCACCGCTATAAGCGCAGCCTGTACACGGGCAGCAAGGGCCTGTCTGAGAGGAATGTCCTCCACTCGTGAGGGCCAGCCGAATGTGAGCTCCGCCAGCACACTGTCTGTGAGGAAGTAGCTGAAGGTAAAGGTGGGGGGGACGGGGGCACGGGCGGATTGGGCGTGAGGGCAGGCGGATTGGGTGAGAGGGAGGCGGGCGAGGAGGAGGCAACAGGAACACACAAGGTGGAGGAAGAGAGGTGGGTGACAGGAGCGCACAAGGTGGAGGAAGAGAGGTGGGTGACAGGAGCGCACAAGGTGGAGGAAGAGAGGTGGGTGACAGGAGCGCACAAGGTGGGGGAAATGGGGACTCACCGCTCTGGGAACTGAAAGACGATGCCGACCCTCTCAGAGAGCTCCGCACGGGAGAGAGGCGTGAGGGCGGGCGGATTGGGTGAGAAGGAGGCGGGCGGGGAGGAGGCGGAGAGGGAGGGCGGAGATGCGGTAGCGGGCATGGCTATGGTGCCTTGGGTGGCTGTGGTGAGACCTGATAGGAGCTGATGGGGAAGGACAAGAACGGGGGCGTAGGTGGAGATGAGTGTGTGTGTGGACACGGATTAGGACGGACAGACAGACAGACAGACAGACAGACAGACAGACAGGTTCAGAAAAGCCTGTTTTTTAGACGACTCAAAAACAGAACGAGAGCGTGGATGGAGATGAGTGTGTGGACAAGGATTAGGACAGACAGAAAAGTTATGCAGGTTGGGTCGCCAAACGCAGTTATGTGGGTGGGGTTGACATGCGCGGAGGGTGAGAATGGATTGAGCTGTACTGATTGAGATCCGCATTGAATTACCTGACTGACACTTTCCAGGCTGCTTCAGGTGCAGGTTCGGGGATTAGGATTGAAGAGGTAACTTTTGAGTCGACTCAAAAGTCACCTGATTAGGAGTGAAGAGCTGCAGTGGAGATTTGATTTGAAGGAAGGAGACACGGTGGCAGCACGGCAGCGGGCATACCTGCAGGAGGGTTGTCTTGCCGCCCCCACTGCGGCCGAAGATGAGCCCCAGGCTGTTGCGCAGGGGCGTGGGGGGTTGGCAGGGGCGGGGGGCATGGGCGAGTGGAATGGGCGAGTGGGAGAGGGGGAGATGCAGAGGGGGAGATGCAGAGGGGGAGATGCAGAGGGGGAGATGCAGGGAAGAGCGAGGGATTGATTGAAGCAGGCGAGAAGCCCTAGCAGCTGCTGCAGGGGAGAGACGTGCAACCTCTTGGCCCTAGCAGCTGCTGCAACGGAAAGGCTTGCTGCACATGGCATGGGGGGAGGGAGGGAGAGCGGGGAAGGCGGAGAGGGCGGGGAGGAGCGGGGAGGGCGGGGCGGGCGGGGAGGAGCGGGGAGGAGCGGGGAGGAGCGGAGAGGGAGGGGAAGGAGCGGGGAGCGCGGAGGGCGGGGAAGGAGCGGGGAGCACGGAGGGCGGGGAAGGAGCGGGGAGCGCGGAGGGCGGGGAAGGAGCGGGGAGCACGGAGGGCGGGGAAGGAGCGGGGAGCGCGGAGGGCGGGGAAGGAGCGGGGAGCACGGAGGGCGGGGAAGGAGCGGGGAGCACGGAGGGCGGGGAAGGAGCGGGGAGCGCGGAGGGCGGGGAAGGAGCGGGGAGCACGGAGGGCGGGGAAGGAGCGGGGAGCACGGAGGGCGGGGAAGGAGCGGGGAGCGCGGAGGGCGGGGAAGGAGCGGGGAGCGCGGAGGGCGGGGAAGGAGCGGGGAGCGCGGAGGGCGGGGAAGGAGCGGGGAGCGCGGAGGGAGAGACCTGTTTTTGGGAAGGGAGAGCGACACGTCAGTGAGCAGCCAGCTGTCGGACCCGTGTGACTTTTGAGTCGACTCAAAAGGAGCGGGGAGGGCGGAGGGAGGAAGAGACGAGACCTGCTCTTGGGCAGGGAGAGCGACACGTCGTTGAGCAGCCAGCTGTCGGAGTTTTGAGTCGACTCAAAGAAGAGGGCGGAGGGAGGAAGAGACCTCACCTGTTTTTGGCTAGGGAGAGTGACACGTCAGTGAGAAGCCAGCTGTCGGACCCGTGCGGCTGGAAGCTCACGCGCCGCACCTCCAGCACCCTCTCCTCCGCCGCCCTCCCCGCTGCTGCGCCCTCCGCCACTGCGCCCCCCACCGCCCGCGCAAGCGTCGCCCCTGCCCCGCCTCTTCCGCCTCCTCCACTGCTTCCCCCTTCACCTCCGCATATCTCCCATCTCCGCGCGCTTTCGGCCTCCGCGGCAAGTCTGGGGAAAAACGGGGCGGCGTGACGACCTTCATTCCCAGCCGCCCCGCATCGGACGGCCAATCGCACTCTCCGGTGTGGCGTCCCCGAATCGAACGGTCGTGAGCGGCCAGAAGAAAGGCTGTGTGCGTTTGCGAAACGGTTTCCGTTTTGCGCAGAACGTGCGGCGGCGGCGGCGGCGGAGGCAACGGAAACCGTCCCGTGAAATGAGCAACAATGTGAGTCGGTGACTGGCGGTGATGCGGGGACCGATATCGAGGCAGTGAGGGCGTGTGAATCCGCGATATGGGATGCCGCGATACACGATGCTGCGATTGCTGGTGAATGTGACCAAGGAATTGCCATTCGTACGACGACGCCACGTGGCAAGCGAAGGTAGCGCTGGTGCCGCTAGTGGCGTTGGTGGCGGTGGTGAGAAGGACGCTCGTGGCGATAATATCGGTGGTGGGAAGCCCGCTGGAGCCGGTGAAAGATGCGCACACGGTTTTCCTGCCGAGAAGCACGCGCTCTGTGTCATAGCCGACTCGCTATTGAGAATTCTCACAAGTATAAAGACAATTCCCCTTATCATAACACACTCAGGCTGAACATTGTAAAACCCTTATTTTACATATGTGTTGTGCGTTACGATGTTTTTACATGTACAGCAACACACTTTTGATATTTCCTGCGGTCCAGATCTGGGACCCAGAGAAGTCCCAAACAGTACATCTTTGCTTCACTGCCTTGCATGAAGGTGTGCCGCGCCGCGACGCACGAGGGTCAGGGTCAGTTGCTACAGACCTAGTGACAACCTTGCACAACAAATCCGAGGCAGAATCGCATCATAATCAAAAACTCGTTGTTTCCAACAGGGCAAGACGTTGAATGAATGAATGTTGCACTAGAGCACCTCTGTGTCGACTTCTGTGACTATGTGTTGATGAGCCCAGCAGGGCAACCATAAACTTGCGGAACTGAAACATGAACTGTTCCTTACATAAGGGGGATCATGGAGGTGGCGTGGCGAGCAAGGAACCAAATTATATAGAGGTTTTTTCGGATCGGTTGGGTTAGGGTAGTAGGAACTTCTGGTAGCTGACGATTTCTTTGACATTTGTCTTTTGTTCCATCGGTCAGCCCTCAAACGCTGTTTAGCTGAAAGCTGGTTTCCTCCAACTGTCATGAAAGAGGTGACTCGATGTGTTTTTTCTGCCTCCTACACAACCGCAACCGCCTCCACAGTGTATATCACGGTTTGGCGCTAAGGGTCAGCGGCGGCGCCGAGCCGAGGGTGCGCCCACTGCCATATGCCGCGTCGTTCGTCTCTTGAGTGTCGTGTCGTGTCGTTTTTTACAAGACTGCTCCCGCCCTTCCCGCCTAGCTAGCCAAGTCAGCCCCCCCACTCGCCTCCTAGCACCCACCTTGAGTTTGTTCCCAACTTGGAAAGTCCCCCTGCCCTGACCTGACCCGTCACCCGATCCCTCCCTCTCACCTCACACATTCCCCTCCCCCCCTTTCCCCACACCTTCCCCGACACACAAGGGTTCCACCTGTCTCCGTTCTGGCCTGAAGATGCATTCTGCCCAATATCCTGGCTGCAGTGTTGCGGTTCCAGTCAAGACCATTTTCCTTTGTTGGTCTGATATGGGTTCTGGTAGGGTGTCCAAAAAATTGGCTTCTCTATTTGGGGGATGTATACAGAAATATGGGTCAAACTTTCACTAGCTTTTTCGATTTGTTATAGATGAAAACATACGTTCGATCCGTGCTTACAGCACATCAGAGGGGTGCCGCCAGTCAGATTAGAGTGTAGGGTGCAACTTCTGTCCTGGCACTGTCCTGGGTAATAAGTACAGTAACCACAATACTGTCCTTGTCTAAATTTGTCGTATGACTTCTTTCTGTCCTTATCCCCGGCCAAAAATCTCGGATGTGTGATGCCTGGTGGGCTAGCATCGCAACGCAGTTTCTATATTTCAAGGTAGCCTGAAAATATTGCCATGTTACCGTGCTAATAGGCTCAATTGAACCAGGACCATTCCAATACACCACAAGATTTTACAGTTAAGTACAGTTTTGCGTGATTCAAACATGCTAAACTATACACATGATGCCCAGCCACTGCGCGCGAATTTGCCTTGCACAATTCAGAAACTCTGCACCCGTATTTTTTTTCCCACTCAGTTGCACCCAGGTTATAGGCACGCGGATCAACTTGCATTTGGGCGAGAAAACGCCAAAGTATGAATCTTAGGCGCAAAACAAACCATGCTGACCCGGTAGGTTCTTGTTTCTTGGCCAGAAACAAGCATAAACCCAAAACCCTGAACTGACAACAACACAGGCCCACCAGCACTGTTTTGGAAAAAACAAACGAGTTACAACCTGTATTTTTTAGAAGCACCTCAACACCCTGGCGAAATGGAACGAACTGGGCGAAATGCCTAAAACGTTTATAAGCCCAGAGCACAGCCCAAGTAGGGGGAACTCAAACGGACATCAGGTGTACCTGCCTTCTTCTGTAGGATTTGGATTTCTTTTTCTCATCTGTCTGGACCAACCACAAGCCACAGTTGCCGAAGCCGCCCCCCGCAGCACTGTACTTCCCCCACCCCCCGCCCTTGTTGCCCCCCTTCTCCCGAATTCCTCCCCCTCGCACCCTTTTTTCAAATGTGCGACGCGCCTAGCCATGCAATGCGAGAATGCCAGCCAAGCCTCACGATGGCTTTGGGGTGCGAGCGAGCGCGTGAGCGAGCGATCATTTGCGTCGGTGGCTGGAATCTGGGTCTGGGGGGGACGAGTTAGCCCGCCCGCCACGACCCGTCGTCGTCCAGTCGGATCGTCAACCAATCCGGCTTGGTCTGTGTTCGCGCTGGCACCCTCGTGTTGCGCGCCTCTTTCTCCGCACCACAGCTGCGCAGCACACCACGCCGCCAGACCAGACCAGACTCCGCGCAGCACATCACAACAGCACATCCGCAAGCCTATCGTGCCCCTTCCCTCCGATCGCACCCCCCCACGCGGTGGTGCTGGCTGGCACACCCCTCTGTTCAGTCCGTCCGTTGGTTGATGAGTAAGTCGAGAGTCTGTGAAGTGAATGCAGCAATATTCACCACGCATCCAACTCACACGATACTGCAGACTCCTAGCTTCAACCTTGTTCATTCCTGACCTCCATTCCCATTCGGAACCAACTATATCAATAGTACAGCTAGACCCCCAAGTATCGTTAGAACTGTGAACCGTGGAGCAACAAACATCGAACGTCGATCACAAGATTGTAAAAGTCACGCCGTCATCCGTAATATCCATTTCCACATGGAAACCGCGACGATCCATTCCGACTCGCGCAATGCTACTAATTGTACGGGTTATTCGTGGAAGAAATACGGTCACAAAGTTCTTGCGTCCGTCAACGTCAAGCGGTGAGGATCCACACCGAGTTTCACGATTTTTTCTGAACAAAATTCGTTTCACGACGAATTAGCCATCAACGATGTCACGTCGCATCCACAGTAGCCGTAGTAATGCCGCTAGTTGTAAACGTCATATGCAAACGTCGCATTTCCGCCGCTTTTTTTGACGTCTCCGTCGCTCGCCGCCTCCCTGTTTCTTCGCAGGTTCTACTACGCGTGCGCGCAGAAGGACTCGCACGGATGCCCCGCGAAGAAAATCGTCGACAAGCCGCGCAAGCGACCCCGCGCCGGCAGCTTGAACGGCCGCGCCGCATCCAGTGGCGGCGGCAGCGACGGCGGCGGCGGCGCGCTTTCCCCGGAAGCCAGCACGGGCAGCGACAACAGAATGCCAGGCGTTTCTCCCCATTCGGGAAGGTTGACCCCCCCATGCGGCGCACCTATATCCCCGAGCGTCATACTCTCAGCATCGTCGTCCCAAGATCAGCCCTGGGCGCGCAGTCTGTTCCCCGCGGGCCATGATCAAGGGTCCGCGGGCGACGCCATGGCGGCGGGGGGAACGGACTCCGCCACCGCCGCCTCCGGTGGCGGAGAGTTGTCGACAGAGGCCGCAATGAAGGAGAAAACTTGGTTTGAGAATGCGCACAACCATCCCCCGCCGCTGCTGTCCTCCCGCCTCTCCCGCAACCGCTTCCTTGCTGCTGCTTCCGCTACCGCCGCCGCCGCCGCCGCCGCCGCCGCGGTGTCGCCACCGTCGCCGCCTCAGCAAGGCGGCGTGATGGTCGCGCCTGCGGCTTCCGCCGGTGGCGGCGGCGTGTGGGGGCAGCAGGAGCAACAACAGCAGATCATGCTGCACCAACAGCAGCAGCAGCAATTTCTAGTGCAGCAGCAGACGGCACAGCTGATAACGGGGCGGAACGGAGGGCAGGCGGAGCCGCATTTAGCAACGTTTCCCGCTCCACGGAACGACACCCAGGCGCTTTCTGTGCGCTCCCCTCCCCCGCACCAGCAGGCTCAGCTGCAATCTCAGCAGCAGCAGGTGTTGATGGGTCGTCCCATGATGCCACTGGATCAGTCGACTCTCAACTGCTCAGGCCGGCAAGATGCGTCGGGAGGAGTTACCATGACACTAGGTGTCACACCTTGTAGCAGTAATGCATATCCCAGGACAGATGAAGGGAGCGGCGAGAATCGAATGCCGCTGCTCCAGATGCTGTCCAATCAGGAGCCGCCACCTCAGCTGCTCTTGTGCACGGAGCCTCCGTTGACTCCCTGGGATTCCGGCCAGCCTGGCAATCATGGTTCCTCGCCGCATAGCCTTCCCCAGCACGGCCTGAGCGGACCACCGCAGCAGCAACAGCAACGGCAGCAGCAGCAGCAGCAACAGAACTACAGCCAGCACCAGCCGCAGCAGCAAAGCCAGCAATGGCAGCAGCAGGGACAGCAGAGGATCCAGTATGTCGGCCAGTTCAGCCAGCCAGTGTCAGCAACACTCCCCCCCCTTCCACCCTCCCCGCACACATCCACACCCCCTACACCCCTTCCAACCTCAGCGCCATCAGCAATGCGGCCTGCTATGTACGCTGCCCCTTCCGCTCACGCTAATCACGCTAATCACGCTAATCTGCCACCCAGTGTCGAGCGCAGCACTGTCGGCGGCGGCAACAGTGAGAGCAACGGCACAACGGGACTTTGCTTGCCAAGCAGTGTGTGCGATGGGAGCACCTGGGAGCAACCCTCCCGCCCAGGGAAGCGGCTCAAGAGGGATCCTGGTAGCAGAGACCAGAGCGGAGGGACCCAAGACCAGAGCAGTGCTTCGCTGATCACCGCTGACCACTATGACCTGCTGGAGGTGATGGAAGGAACGGAGAAGCGCCCCGAGAACGACCCGGAGAAGAGCCCGTGGGTGCGGAAGAGCGCACAAGGCTATCTCCTACTTGGGCAAGCGTTGGGGAGCAGCCAGATCCGTCACATCAAACCATTCCAGCGTGAACCAGAGAAGGGACCAAAGGCATGGGCTGCTCTCAAGGGTGTACATGCTCCTGCAACAGCGGCGGTAGCGGTGGTGTTGGAACGGCAAATGGCGGCACTACGAATTGAAGAAGACGAAGCGGTTGAAGAAGGGGTGCAGAAATTCTTCGACTTGTTGACGCGGCTTGAGGGAGCTGATTTGAACTACAGTGAGCTCCAAAAGAAGACCAAGTTGCTGGCCTTACTCCCAGAGTCATGGTCCTCTCTCATCATCAACCTCAATCGTGACTTGCCCCACCTCTCGCTCGAAGACGTGAAGCGAGCGATCCTTCAAGAGGATTTCCGTCGCCGTGAGTTGGCGAGTGCGGATGGCGCCGGGGCAGCAAGCATCGGCCGTGGATATGGCCGTGGAAAGGGCAGAGGACGAGGAGGAGGAAGGTTTGGAGGCAGCAACTTCAACGGAGGCCGCGGGAGTAGCGGATACGGCAATGACAACAAGAACAACGGACGCGGTCGCGGACGGTTCGACGGCGAGTGTCATTTTTGCCACAAGAGCGGACACATGTGGCGCGATTGCTACAAACTCCCTGATGGATGGACTCCTGCTCAAGGCCAAGAGGGTAGAGGAGCAGGAGGAGGGAGAGGAAGAGGCCGTGGAGGCCGTGGCGGTCGCGGAGGTGGTGCTGCAAGTATGAAGAGTGCCGGCAACGAGAGCGAGTCGAGGGACGATCGCTTCCCGGGTCAATTCTTCTTCGTGTCCACACAAGCACCGGCTGGTCCAGAGAATGATGAAAGCTTTGAGGAGCCAGCAGCTGTGGGGAAGGTCACCCTACACTCCCTGGACTATTGGGTGATCGATAGCGGCGCTACCTATAGCATGACACCTCGTGCGGACTTGCTCACCGAACTTGAGCCGTCACCGGTGAAGCATGTGACATCGGCTTTGGGGCAGCGAGCAGAGGTGAAAGGCATGGGCAAGGCCATGTTCAAGGGTGCTGATGGGAAGATGGTGGGCCTCAAGAACGTGCTTTGGGTGCCCAACCTTGCTGCCAACCTGATTTCCGTGCGGCGGTTGCAAAAGGCCGGCATGGACACGAGCTCGAAGGGAGCTAAGACCTACACCGCGAGGCTTGGCGAGCGGATTCTTTGGGACCTTCACGAGGATAGGGATGTCTACAACGAGATGTGGCAAATCCCTGTGGTCCCCATGCCTAAGGAGAGGCAAGTGGCAGCAAGCATCAGCACCAAGGGTGAAGCGGTTGGTAGCGGCGATGGCGCGAACGGTCGCGCTAAGGAGATAAAGTCCAAGAAGTGCAATCTTGGAGGGACCAGCAAGCTCGGTGAACATGAGGAGAGTGGTGCAGCAGCTCAGAAGCAGCACAAGGGTGAGGAGAACCCCAAGGCAGCAGCGGAGGAGGAGTACGGAGAGAACATGTGGGGCACTATTGCGAGTGCGGCATTCTCCAATCCGACTTTGGCTACGGGGGAGTGTGATTGGCTCACCTTGCATCGGCGAATGGGGCATGTGGCCCTGCCCATCTTGCAGCAGCTAGTGAAGAATGAGATGGTTGCTGGCATACGTGTGAAGGGGGAGCCCGATGAGGTACTTGGCTGCCCGACGTGCATGCAAGCCAAGTTCACACGTTTCCCGTTCTCTAGTTCGGAGGCAACGGCTAAGGCACCACTTGATGAGGTGGTGATGGACGTGGTGGGCCCCCTGAAGCTTGGAGCTGCTGGAGCTGAGTACTTTCTCACCATTGTGGACGTCTACACTCGCATGACTTGGGTGTACGTGCTGTCCAAGAAGAGTGACGTGGCTGAAACGGTGAAGACCGATTGGTTGCCGATGGTGGAGCGGCAACAAGACCGGCTAGTGAAGGCAATCCGCACCGATCGAGGGGGAGAGTTCTTGAGCAAGGAGTTTGGATTGTGGCTGAAGAAGAATGGCATAAGGCACTCCCTTACCATGCCATACTCCCCTGCAATGAACGGCATCGCCGAGCGAGCGAACCGGACAATCACGGAGACGGCGCGCGGGTTGCTCATTGAAGCCGGGCTACCCGAATATTTCTGGCCTGATGCGGTGCGGAGTGCATGTGTGGCCAAGAACAGAGCTTTGACTCATGTGGGAGCAGACAAATGGGTGCCCTATGTGGAGTGGATTGGAAGGAAGCCAAAGGTGGATATGCTTCGGGTGTTCGGGTGCATGTGCATGGCGCTCGTGCCTAAGCATCTTCGGCACAACAAGCTCGGTGCCAAGGCGATATGGGCTGTGCACTTGGGCATGGCTCAAAACAGCAAGGGGTGGCTTCTTTGGGACCCATTCACCAAGAAATTCTTGGTGAGCAGGGACTGCAAATTCATGGAGAATCTGATGTACAAGGATTGGAAGGCGGAGAATGAGGCGAAGATAGGCGTGCGGTTGGGGGACGTGAAGAGTTCCGGTTTGGAGCATGTGGAGCTGCCCTTGGAGCTGAGCAGCGGCAGCACCACCACAAGGCAATCTTCCCTTGTGAATGGGGGAGAGGAGGCCAAGGATGCAGAGGAAGAAGAGGAGGAGGTTCAGCAAGTGAGCGAGCGTGCACCGACACTTCCTTCTCGCACTACGAGTGCTCCACGGATCCGAGTCACCCCGCAGCAACGCCAAGGCCTTCATGTCCCTGCAGCTGAGGAAGAAGGAAGGGGCAAAAGGAGAATCCAAGCCCCAAATAGGCTGACCTATGAGGCACTCGGAAAGCCAGCCAAGTCAGCCTTGGCCGGAGCGGCACTTATAGTTGGAGAAGACGAGGAGAGTGACTACGAGGAGTGTGCCTTCGCGTTCTTCTCTCCGGTGGAGATGCCGGGGGAACCAGCAACTCTCAAGGAGGCCTTGGAGAGTAGTGATGCTGAGGAGTGGAAGAAGGCAATTGAGAGTGAGCTGAAGAGCATTGAGGAGAACGGCACATGGGAATTGGTGGAGCTACCGGAGGGGCGTAAGGCGATTACGTCCAAGTGGCTCTTCAAGATCAAGTCCGACGCCGACGGCAAGATCGAGCGCTACAAGTCTAGGCTTGTGGCGAAGGGGTACCAGCAGAAGGAGAAGGTGGACTATAAGGAGTTGTTTGCTCCTGTGGTGAAGCCGACGACGCTGCGAACCCTACTCGCGGGAGCTGCCATCAAAGGATGGGTGGTGAAACAAATGGATGTCACAACGGCATTCCTCAATGGCGTCCTTGAGGAAGAGATTTTCATGGCGCAGCCAGAGGGGTTTGATGATGGTAGTGGCAGAGTTTTGAGGCTGAAGAAGGCCCTTTATGGACTGAAGCAGGCCCCTAGGCAGTGGTACTTGAAGCTGCGAGGAGTTTTGGAGGAGATCGGCTTCACTCCCTCAACGGCCGATCACTCATTGTTCATGCTTGGCGAGGGGGAGCAGAGGAGCTTCATGGTGGTGTACGTGGATGACATCCTCATCTTTTCACCCTCATCTGACCTTGTGAAGGAGGTGATGCTGAAGCTTCAGGACAAGTTTAAGTGTAAGGCCCTTGGTGACGTCAACTTCTACCTTGGGCTTCACATTGAACGTGATGTGGAGAAGCGGTGCATGCGGGTGCATCAACGGAAGTACCTGGAGGCATTGGCTGCCAACTTTGGGCAGAGTGAAGGCCATGTGGCTACACCCTTTCCCTCTGGTTTCAAGTGTGTGAAGGGACCAGAGGAGGAGAGCGTTGGTGAAGAGGAGAGGCGCCGTTTTCACTCGTTGGTGGGCAGCCTCATGTACGCGGCGGTAAACACCCGACCGGACGTCGGGTTTGCTACCGGACAGTTGGCTAGGGTTGTTCAATGCCCTAATGAGGAGCAGGTAGCAGCTGGAATGAGAGTGGCCAAGTATCTTGGCCAAACACCGACCGTTGGGCTGCAATATTCGGCGGCGGCGCAAAGGCGCCCTAACGTCCTCGCTCGTTCCAACAGAAACGCTCCTGCTCCTGCTCTTGCTCCCGCTCTTGCTCGCTATTGCTGCTGCTGCTGCTGCTCCTGCTGCAAGAGACAGGACGAGCACCCCAGCCGAAGCGCAGCCCATGGAGAGGAATTTCATCGACGCACTCTCGCTCTCGCCCTCCTCCCTCTCCTTGGCTTGCTCTCTTGCCCCACCTCATGGCTCCAAGGGAGAGAGCCACACAGGAGAGGGCCTAAAGACAGGGGGTTTCGTGGGGAAGGGCCGTATGGGAAAGAACGTCAAGGGGGAGGGCCTTCTGGGGGAGGTGTTTTTAGGGGAAGGCTGTGCTCCAGCTGCCAGAGGGCCCTCGCTGGACCTCCCGGGGTTTTACGAGCCTTCTTTTCCAGAGCTCTCACTTAGCCTTGGCAGGTTGTAGCTTTTACCTTCTCTTGATCAAGTACCGTACGGTATGTGAAACCTACCGTACCGTACCTAGAAGTGAAAGCGAAATGTGAGATGTTTCCCTACTAATGGAAAAGGTGTATTTCGGAGTGCAAAAGATGCCCATGTGAAAGTGGTTGCATAGCAAACAGTTTGGGGCGGGCGGGTGAGCGAGTCGAGTCTTTTCACCCAGTTTGGAAACCAACAAGTGAGGCGGCCTTGCAGATGAGACCGGACCGGACCGGACCGCTGTTTGAAACCGCCAGCCAGCAAGCATGCTTGCTGTGCTGGCCGTGCCGTGCTACGGTGAGCTCCCCATTCAATGAAAAAATAGGCAAACAGAAGCACAAGTTCATGGCTCCAACAACATACCCTACCTTGCCTGCAAGCCAGCCCACCCCACCACCGCACATACCGGATGTCTAACCTCCTTTCCGTCTCATGGCATTTGCTCGCACAAACACCTTCCTGGAAAAATCCGTCAGTATCTTCTGCACCCCTTTGGGATCCTTGGCCACTAGACTCCCTTCCACAGGCTTCCCCGCCCACCCACCCGCCGCACTCCCCGCACTCTTATTGAGCTCACTGCTTAGCCTCCTTTCCGTCTCATGGCATTCGCTCGCGCAAACACTTTCCTCGAAATATCTGTCAATATCTTCTGCACCCTCTTGGGATCCTTGGCAACCAACTTCCCTTCCACAGGCTTCCCAGCCCACCCACTCACCCTTCCCCCCCCCCCCGCACTCCCAATGAGCTGACTGCCTAACCTCCCTTTCGTCTCATCGCGTTCGCTCGCGCAAACACCTTCCTGGAGATATCCGTCAATATCTTCTGCACCCCCTTGGGATCTTTAGCAACCAACTTCCCTTCCACAGGCTTCCCAGCCCACCCGCCCGCCGCACTCCCCACCGCCTTCCCCCCCTCACAAAACGCCAAATAGTACTCAATTTCGCAGATATCCGCCAGCTGGTGGAAAATCACATCGGGATTCTCCACCGGGCGAATCTCCAGCACGGCCGATCCGGGCGGCATGAAGACAATATCCGCGAGGATATTATCGTGCACTGATACCATGAGGAGCGCGCGGTTGAGCAGGTCTTTTCGGCGGGGGAGGGAGATGGAGCCTTCGCGGTAGATGACGACTCGCTCGGGGGGGAAGAGGCGGGTGAGGTGCTCGTGTAGCTTGAGGCTCTGCAGGAGGGAGGCCCGCTGCTCCTTCCACCCCAGCAGCACCACCCAGTTGCTGCCCGGGGCGTACGCGTGTGGTGTATAGGCTGGGGTGGTTGATCCTTTGAACCTGGACGTCCAATCTGTTGAGGGAGGGGGTGGGGGGGAGGGGTGGTGGGGTGGTGGGGGGTAGTTGGAGGGAGGATGGTGTGGTGGGGGGCTGGGGGCTAGGACCAAACGGCACCCACCCCCCCTCCACCAGTTAAGGCGGGTGAGGTGCTCGTGTAGCTTGAGGCTCTGCAGGAGGGAGGCCCGCTGCTCCTTCCACCCCAGCAGCACCACCCAGTTGCTGCCGGGGGCGTAGGCGTGTGGTGTATAGGCTGGGGTGGCAGATCCGTTGAACCTGGACGTCCAGTCTGGTGGGAGGGTGGAAGAGGGGTGAGTGTGGGGAGGCTGGGTGGTGGGGGCAAGGAATAAATGACGCGCACGAGAGAGATGGAGCCTTCTCGGCAGATGCTCTCAAACGAAAGGCTTTGAACCTCTCTCCTTTGTAAAGAGTGAGATCAAGGAAATCAAGTGAATTCTCACTGACGCGCACGAGAGAGATGGAGCCTTCTCGGCAGATAACGACCCCCCCACCCCACCCCCCAACCCCTCCCCCCTTCTCTTTGCTCACTCTTTTCGGCGGAAGCCCCTCCCCCCCCCCACTTCACTCGCCCTGCTCGTACCAGCATTAAAGATGGGCAGCCCCCCGGGCGGCAGCAGGTGTCTCATTCGCAGATAGTGCCAAAGCGAGCGGCTGGGCTCCCCACACCGCTGGTGCAGCGGCTGGGATAGGGAGGAGAGGGGAGGGGAGAGGAACGGAGGGGCGGGGAGGGGATGGGATGGGAGGGGAGGGGAGGGGAGGGGAGGGGAGGGGAGGGGAGGGGAGGGGAGGGGAGGGGAGGGGAGGGGATTGGAGGAAACGGGAGGCAAGGGGAGGGGAGACATGGGAGGGACGGGGTGAGATGAGGCGGAGGGGAAGGAAGAGAATGCAGGGTAGTAGCATGGGGAGGGAAAGGGGGAAATGAGGAAGAGGGAGGCAGGGTATATCAGGAAAGGCCACTTCCACTCACAATGACGAGCTTCTCAGCGAAAAAAAAGCAAATTGTGGGCCTCGATCACATGCACGTTCATCCTGTCTACCTGCACTCCCAGGACATCCACCACTCCCAGGACATCCACCACTCCCAGGACATCCACCACTCCCAGGACATCCACCACTCCCAGGACATCCACCACTCCCAGGACATCCACCACTCCCAGGACATCCACCACTCCCAGGACATCCACCACTCCCAGGACATCCACCACTCCCAGGACATCCACCACTCCCAGGACATCCACCACTCCCAGGACATCCACCACTCCCAGGACATCCACCACTCCCAGGACATCCACCACTACCAGCCACCAACTTTTTCAGGACCTCAACCTCACCCTCTCCGTTCCCCCTTCCCCTTCGCAACCCACTCACAATGACGAGTTTTTTTCGCAAAGAACGGGTCATGTTATGGGCCTTGACGACATGCACGTCCATCCTGTCCACCTGCACTGCACGCCTAGCACGTCCACCCCTTACCCCCTCCCCCGCCCTCGCCTGCCCCCCCTCCCCTCCCCTCCCCTCTCCCCCTTTTTTAAACCCACTCACAATGACAAGCTTTTCAGCAAAGAACAAGTCCTTGGACTTCACCACATGCACATTCATTTTATCCACCTGCACGCCCAGCACATCCACCGCTCCCAGCGAGCACAGCTGCTCCAACCCATTCCTCACATGCGGCCTCCTATGCCCCACAGCCACCGGCACTCCCCTCATGGCCGGTAGAATGCGGTGCAGAGAGATGAAGAGCGGTATGAGGTCGAGCAGCATGGCGCGCGTGGACCAGGCGAACCAGTCGACGAGGGAGACGAGCTCTTTGAAATGAGTCACGCGTGTGCGGTTGGCGGTGTAGCGGAAGGGGAGGGTGACGGTGATGTTGGGACTGCCGGCACATGCATTGTGGTCAAAGAGGTGGGTTGCGTTGAACACCTGCCCCACCACGTTTATGTACACATTGCGTAGCACCAGCACCTGTCGGGGGAGGGTTGGCGGGGGGTGGAATAGTGGAAAGGGAGAGGCACATGGAGACACCTGGGCTGCCTGTACATGCGTTGTGGTCGAAGAGGCGCGTCGAGTTGAACACCTGGACCTGCCCCACCACGTTTATGTACACATTGCGTAGCACCAGCACCTGTCGGGGGAGGGTTGGCGGGGGGTGGAATAGTGGAAAGGGAGAGGCACATGGAGACACCTGGGCTGCCTGTACATGCGTTGTGGTCGAAGAGGCGCGTCGAGTTGAACACCTGGACCTGCCCCACCACGTTTATGTACACATTGCGTAGCACCAGCACCTGTCGGGGGAGGGTTGGCGGGGGGTGGAATAGTGGAAAGGGAGAGGCACATGGAGACACCTGGGCTGCCTGTACATGCGTTGTGGTCGAAGAGGCGCGTCGAGTTGAACACCTGGACCTGCCCCACCACGTTTATGTACACATTGCGTAGCACCAGCACCTGTCGGGGGAGGGTTGGCGGGGGGTGGAATAGTGGAAAGGGAGAGGCACATGGAGACACCTGGGCTGCCTGTACATGCGTTGTGGTCGAAGAGGCGCGTCGAGTTGAACACCTGGACCTGCCCCACCACGTTTATGTACACATTGCGTAGCACCAGCACCTGTCGGGGGAGGGTTGGCGGGGGGTGGAATAGTGGAAAGGGAGAGGCACATGGAGACACCTGGGCTGCCTGTACATGCGTTGTGGTCGAAGAGGCGCGTCGAGTTGAACACCTGGACCTGCCCCACCACGTTTATGTACACATTGCGTAGCACCAGCACCTGTCGGGGGAGGGTTGGCGGGGGGTGGAATAGTGGAAAGGGAGAGGCACATGGAGACACCTGGGCTGCCTGTACATGCGTTGTGGTCGAAGAGGCGCGTCGAGTTGAACACCTGGACCTGCCCCACCACGTTTATGTACACATTGCGTAGCACCAGCACCTGTGGAGTTGAGGGGAGGGTGGGTGGATAGGGAATTGCAGAGGGGAATGATGGCACACGATTGGAGCGGAGAGAGGTCGGATGAAGTATGAGAAGGGGAGGAGGGAAGGTTGACACATGAGTTGGCTTGAAAGTCACCTCGAACCTGCAGTGGGTGCACACAGAGGGAGGGAACGGGAGATGGATACGTGGAGGAAGGGGAACCTGATTGGCTGCTGATCTGATCCTCCTTGCCTGCCTGTCTACTCATGGTTCTTGCAAGGCCCACTGTTGCCTTTCACCCATTCCTCCGCGCAAATCTTCCCTTCCACACCATAACCCCTCCGGCACATAAACCTCCTCTCCTATTATCACACCCATCCCCCTGATTTCACCTTCAACCTCCCCCCCTTCCCTCCCCTCACGCCCTCCATCCTCCCTCCACCCACCTGAGCAGACCACTTGTTAAGCGGCAGCAAATCATTCATCTGAATGCAAGTCAGGTCCACCCCCTTGCAGCTCACAGAGCACCCCATCAGCCAACCCCATTCCCAACCCCTGTCCCCCAAACCCCTGTCCCCCAAACCCCCTTCATGCTTCCCCTCCCCCACCCACCTGAGCAGACCACTTGTTATGCGGCAGCAGGTCGTTCTTCTGAATGCACGTCGGGTCCACGCCCTTGCAGTTCACACAGCACCACATCAGCCAATCCCATTCCCAACCCCTGTCCCCCATCCCCCGTCTCAATCCACCCCCCCTCACCTGGGCAGACCACTTGTTATGCGGCAGCAGGTCGTTCTTCTGAATGCACGTCGGGTCCACGCCACAGAACCACTCATTCAACCCCATTTACCTCCCCTTTCCCCCCACCCACCTGAGCAGACCACTTGTTATGAGGCAGCAAATCATTCTTCTGAATGCACGTCGGGTCCACCCCCTTGCAGTTCACAGGCGGCCGTGTCGCCGCCCGCTTCTCATCCGCAATCCCCGCCTCCCAGCACGACCCAATCCCGGGGAACCGCTCGAACCCAAACTCAAACACCGGGCAAGCCGGCCCACTGGACGCCTTAGGAGCCTCCAGACCCGCTTTAGCGGCGGTGAGTTGCGCTTCTTCGTTGTAACGAATCACGTCTAAGAGGACCGGGTAGAGCTCCAGTTGGGAGATGTTGGTTTGTAGCCGAGCCTTGGAGGGTGGGATCCAGGAGAGCACGAAGCTGCCGTTGATTGGCGCCCACCGGGCTGCCGAACCTGGATGTGAGGTTCGGGGTTTGGGTGGCTTCAGAGAGTTGGATGAGAATGATGCGTTGTAGCTAGTGGTGCTGCTGTCACCGTCCCTGCCGCCACTGCTGCTGCTGCTGCTGCTGCTGCTGCTGCTGCTGTCACTGCTGCTGCCACTCCAACCACTGCCACTATCACTACCGCCACTGCTGCTTTCACTGCTACCGCTGCTACTGTAGCTGTCTCCCAAGCCACCATAACCGCTGCTGCCGCCGCCGCCGCCGCCACCGCTGCTGCTGATGCTAAAACTGCTCCTCATGTTGACAATTTCTGGGCCAGAATGAGTCGAATCCGAGAACCGTTGCTGCTGGGACGCGGAATCTCCAACCCCCTCCCCTCTTCTTCCAATCCCCACTCGCTCTCCATCCGACCGATCCCCTCTTCCACCCTCTGCCGCCCTTCCTGCCAACGTGCCAGCTGTCGCTCCCTTTGAGTCCACTTGGAGCAATCTGGGGTTGCCACCTGCCCCCATTGCTCCTCCCCCAATCTCCCCAACCCCTCCCGTTCCTACGGCCCCAAAGCCCGCACCTACAGCGCCTCCTGACCGTTGATCTACAAAATTTCCCGCCGTTGATCCTTCCATATAGCCACTTCTACCACCGTAGCCTCCTCTCCCGTTATAGTCACGGTTCTGAAGCATTCTCCCGTCCTCTGGACCCCACGGGTCCGCCCCCCGTGATCCCCCCCTTCTTCTGTCACGACCATCAAGGAACGATTCTTCTGACGGGTATGAAGACGCTCTGAGAAACGACCTGTGGTTTAGAATCCATACTAAAAACGCGGCGCCTCCTATCAATAGAAGCAGCCGCGTGGTGCTGCTTTCGCCAAACGCGCTGGTAAGCCCATCGCCCGCAATCCCCGCGCCGCTAGCTCTTTTTCGAATCGGAGCGCGTTTCTTGGCTACCTTCACCGCCATTGCAGATCCCAATAATTCTTTAAAATCTGTCAGTAAGACTTCAACTCCCACGTTTCATATCCACCTTGATCGCCATGGCAGACGTAGACAAAGATTATGCTTCTATCAAGGGCGCGCCAAGAGGTGGCCAATCTGTGACATACTACTACTCAACCGGACGCGAATCGATGATCCGCGACGAATGGAATGCTGCTGGCTGGACTCTACCCGAGCAAACAGTTGAACCTTTTATTATGAAAATATCCAGACTCGCGAGCCTTCAGACTCTCAGAATCTAGAATCCGTGTCTGGAATCTAAACCTCTCTACATCGTTGGTAACAGATTCGCCTCCCTTCCGAAAAGGTCTATCCCGCTGCTGCGTTTCATTAGGCAAAGCTGCTGCATTCTAAGCGTCTCGACGAGTACGAAAGTGAAATAAACGCGGCGAGCTGATTCTTGGAATGATTCTGGCTAACGAACGTGTGCGGACTGTAGCGAAAGGTTTAAACGAAACAGGCGCTGCGATCCCTGGTGGTGACCCCTCACCTCGCCCAGTGTTAAGTTCTTGGGGTGTTCTAAGCTGGTGTAACCTGAGTCAACAGATTCAAAAATGGGATAACGAAGATGACTCTAAAGTAACATTCGCCCAGCGATTGGGAAGAATGCTGCTCCGGAGATAAACGGCAACGGCTGAATCGAATGACCTTCTACGCAAATCGATATCTAAGGAGAGTCATAAGAGTCGAGCACGTGATTGCGCGGCGCCGTGAGCGGCGCGCGTGAGGATTGCTACCGACAACACGAGTCGAAGCACCGTGACGCAATGCTGATTGCTTGTACTACCGTAAGCCGAAAGTAGCAACAATCGCGGGACTAGCAGTGGCCCAAAATGTAATCACCTCAGTCGCCGACGGGAAAGGCACGAAGGATATGGAATGGAATGGAACCTCGAGAGCTGGGAGCGTGGAAACAACCATATAAAATTTGCGTGGCAGGAGTACACATGGATGGGACCTTGACAAGAAGAGCCGCCAGAATTCCAAGGTTCATTTGGCCAGTTGGGTTTGAGAGGGAGGTGTCGGTGTTCCCAAAAACACAGGCTAGGGAGGATTTTTTTCGTTTTAGCGGATCCGTTACAGCGTCGGGTCCCGACTGATTTCACGGAAACTACGCTTGTCACGGTTCAAATAAAAATATATGGTAATTAGGCATAACTGCTCATGCCGAATGACTCAACATTGCTTCAAGGTAATGATCCCATTCAAAATTACAATTCAAAAGTACTCAAACTTGTATCGTCGGAACGCATCCGCCCCACGCTCCTCATACTCCTTCCGACTCACAGCTTGTCGCAACAGTCTCCTCCCATCCCCAGCCATGGCTGCTGCTCCCCTCCAGGCATCCCAAAACACATCCCGTGCTTCCACAATCTTTATGCCACTCCCTATTGGCAGCACCTGCCGATACTCCGCCTCCAACCTGCCCCTCATTCCAGGCAGCAGCGAACTTCCTCCGGTCAGGAAAAGAAAGCTCGGCAAAACATTTTCCATGCCCGAACCAGCAGTGGAAAGGTCAAGAGCACCACTTGTGGACTTTGTTCTAGAATACAATGGGACTAATCTGCTCCTTAGATCCTCCGCTGTTCTTCTCACCGCTGCCCCCAAAGATTCGCCTAAACCTGCCCGGTCCAGCCCGATCAGAGACGGCTCGAAAATAATTTCAGCTGCCCGGACGCGCTCCACGCCGAGCCGGATCTGGTAGTCTGCATCGGTAGGCTGCCGGACCGAGGAGGCAGGTCCGGGAAGGCCGGCGGCCGTGCCCGGGGCAGTGGTTGAGGCAGGCGCGGCATTGATGGAGACTAGGAAGGCTGGGTCGACCTCCTGAGAGGGGAGAGGGGCGGTGGGGTGGTGGGTGGAGGGGTGGGGGGATGGGGGGATGGGGTTTGAGTCAACTCAAAAGACAACTGGTTGAGGCAGGAGCTGCATTGATGGAGACTAGGAAGGCTGGGTCGACCTCCTGAGAGGGGAGAGGGGTGGCGACTTTTGAGGCGCCTCAAGAAGGGCGGCGAGGGGCGAATCGGGGATGGCCTTTGGGTCAACTGGAAGAGGGGAGAGGGGAGAGGGGTGGTGGGGTGGAAGGCTGGGTTGACCTCCTGAGAGGGGAGAGGGGCGGCGAGGGGCGAATGGGGGATGGCCTTTGGGTCAACTGGTTGAGGCAGGCGTGGTGGTGTTGACGGAGACTAGGAAGGCTGAGTGGGGCGGTGGGGGGCCAATGGGGGGTGGGGGCGAATGGAAGATGGGCATTACCATTCCGTGATAGGACTTGTAATGGTCAAAGCACGTCGCCAGGTGCCAGGTCATGTGCGTGCGCACAGCGCTCTATCGCCACGTCACCTCAGAGAATCCACTATCCCGTGCCCCTCTTGATGACTTTTGAGTCAACTCAAAAATCACCTCAGAGAATCCACTATCCCGTGCCCCTCTTGATGACTTTTGAGTCGACTCAAAAATCACCTCAGAGAATCCACTATCCCGTGCCCCTCTTGATGACTTTTGAGTCGACTCAAAAATCACCTCAGAGAATCCACTATCCCGTGCCCCTCTTGATGACTTTTGAGTCGACTCAAAAATCACCTCAGAGAATCCACTATCCCGTGCCCCTCTTGCTGACTTTTGAGTCGACTCAAAAATCACCTCAGAGAATCCACTATCCCGTGCCCCTCTTGCTGACTTTTGAGTCGACTCAAAAATCACCTCAGAGAATCCACTATCACGTGCCCCTCTTGCTGACTTTTGAGTCGACTCAAAAATCACCTCAGAGAATCCACTATCCCGTGCCCCTCTTGCTGACTTTTGAGTCGACTCAAAAATCACCTCAGAGAATCCACTATCCCGTGCCCCTCTTGCTGACTTTTGAGTCGACTCAAAAATCACCTCAGAGAATCCACTATCCCGTGCCCCTCTTGCTGACTTTTGAGTCGACTCAAAAATCACCTCAGAGAATCCACTATCCCGTGCCCCTCTTGATGACTTTTGAGTCGACTCAAAAATCACCTCAGAGAATCCACTATCCCGTGCCCCTCTTGATGACTTTTGAGTCGACTCAAAAATCACCTCAGAGAATCCACTATCCCGTGCCCCTCTTGCTGACTTTTGAGTCGACTCAAAAATCACCTCAGAGAATCCACTATCACGTGCCCCTCTTGCTGACTTTTGAGTCGACTCAAAAATCACCTCAGAGAATCCACTATCCCGTGCCCCTCTTGCTGACTTTTGAGTCGACTCAAAAATCACCTCAGAGAATCCACTATCCCGTGCCCCTCTTGCTGACTTTTGAGTCGACTCAAAAATCACCTCAGAGAATCCACTATCCCGTGCCCCTCTTGCTGACTTTTGAGTCGACTCAAAAATCACCTCAGAGAATCCACTATCCCGTGCCCCTCTTGATGACTTTTGAGTCGACTCAAAAATCACCTCAGAGAATCCACTATCCCGTGCCCCTCTTGATGACTTTTGAGTCGACTCAAAAATCACCTCAGAGAATCCACTATCCCGTGCCCCTCTTGCTGACTTTTGAGTCGACTCAAAAATCACCTCAGAGAATCCACTATCCCGTGCCCCTCTTGCTGACTTTTGAGTCGACTCAAAAATCACCTCAGAGAATCCACTATCCCGTGCCCCTCTTGCTGACTTTTGAGTCGACTCAAAAATCACCTCAGAGAATCCACTATCCCGTGCCCCTCTTGCTGACTTTTGAGTCGACTCAAAAATCACCTCAGAGAATCCACTATCCCGTGCCCCTCTTGCTGACTTTTGAGTCGACTCAAAAATCACCTCAGAGAATCCACTATCCCGTGCCCCTCTTGATGACTTTTGAGTCGACTCAAAAATCACCTCAGAGAATCCACTATCCCGTGCCCCTCTTGCTGACTTTTGAGTCGACTCAAAAATCACCTCAGAGAATCCACTATCCCGTGCCCCTCTTGCTGACTTTTGAGTCGACTCAAAAATCACCTCAGAGAATCCACTATCCCGTGCCCCTCTTGCTGACTTTTGAGTCGACTCAAAAATCACCTCAGAGAATCCACTATCCCGTGCCCCTCTTGCTGACTTTTGAGTCGACTCAAAAATCACCTCAGAGAATCCACTATCCCGTGCCCCTCTTGCTGACTTTTGAGTCGACTCAAAAATCACCTCAGAGAATCCACTATCCCGTGCCCCTCTTGATGACTTTTGAGTCGACTCAAAAATCACCTCAGAGAATCCACTATCCCGTGCCCCTCTTGATGACTTTTGAGTCGACTCAAAAATCACCTCAGAGAATCCACTATCCCGTGCCCCTCTTGCTGACTTTTGAGTCGACTCAAAAATCACCTCAGAGAATCCACTATCCCGTGCCCCTCTTGCTGACTTTTGAGTCGACTCAAAAATCACCTCAGAGAATCCACTATCCCGTGCCCCTCTTGCTGACTTTTGAGTCGACTCAAAAATCACCTCAGAGAATCCACTATCCCGTGCCCCTCTTGCTGACTTTTGAGTCGACTCAAAAATCACCTCAGAGAATCCACTATCCCGTGCCCCTCTTGCTGACTTTTGAGTCGACTCAAAAATCACCTCAGAGAATCCACTATCCCGTGCCCCTCTTGCTGACTTTTGAGTCGACTCAAAAATCACCTCAGAGAATCCACTATCCCGTGCCCCTCTTGCTGACTTTTGAGTCGACTCAAAAATCACCTCAGAGAATCCACTATCCCGTGCCCCTCTTGCTGACTTTTGAGTCGACTCAAAAATCACCTCAGAGAATCCACTATCCCGTGCCCCTCTTGATGACTTTTGAGTCGACTCAAAAATCACCTCAGAGAATCCACTATCCCGTGCCCCTCTTGCTGACTTTTGAGTCGACTCAAAAATCACCTCAGAGAATCCACTATCCCGTGCCCCTCTTGCTGACTTTTGAGTCGACTCAAAAATCACCTCAGAGAATCCACTATCCCGTGCCCCTCTTGCTGACTTTTGAGTCGACTCAAAAATCACCTCAGAGAATCCACTATCCCGTGCCCCTCTTGCTGACTTTTGAGTCGACTCAAAAATCACCTCAGAGAATCCACTATCCCGTGCCCCTCTTGCTGACTTTTGAGTCGACTCAAAAATCACCTCAGAGAATCCACTATCCCGTGCCCCTCTTGATGACTTTTGAGTCGACTCAAAAATCACCTCAGAGAATCCACTATCCCGTGCCCCTCTTGATGACTTTTGAGTCGACTCAAAAATCACCTCAGAGAATCCACTATCCCGTGCCCCTCTTGCTGACTTTTGAGTCGACTCAAAAATCACCTCAGAGAATCCACTATCCCGTGCCCCTCTTGCTGACTTTTGAGTCGACTCAAAAATCACCTCAGAGAATCCACTATCCCGTGCCCCTCTTGCTGACTTTTGAGTCGACTCAAAAATCACCTCAGAGAATCCACTATCCCGTGCCCCTCTTGCTGACTTTTGAGTCGACTCAAAAATCACCTCAGAGAATCCACTATCCCGTGCCCCTCTTGCTGACTTTTGAGTCGACTCAAAAATCACCTCAGAGAATCCACTATCCCGTGCCCCTCTTGCTGACTTTTGAGTTGACTCAAAAATCACCTCAGAGAATCCACTATCCCGTGCCCCTCTTGCTGACTTTTGAGTCGACTCAAAAATCACCTCAGAGAATCCACTATCCCGTGCCCCTCTTGCTGACTTTTGAGTCGACTCAAAAATCACCTCAGAGAATCCACTATCCCGTGCCCCTCTTGATGACTTTTGAGTCGACTCAAAAATCACCTCAGAGAATCCACTATCCCGTGCCCCTCTTGCTGACTTTTGAGTCGACTCAAAAATCACCTCAGAGAATCCACTATCCCGTGCCCCTCTTGCTGACTTTTGAGTCGACTCAAAAATCACCTCAGAGAATCCACTATCCCGTGCCCCTCTTGCTGACTTTTGAGTCGACTCAAAAATCACCTCAGAGAATCCACTATCCCGTGCCCCTCTTGCTGACTTTTGAGTCGACTCAAAAATCACCTCAGAGAATCCACTATCCCGTGCCCCTCTTGCTGACTTTTGAGTCGACTCAAAAATCACCTCAGAGAATCCACTATCCCGTGCCCCTCTTGATGACTTTTGAGTCGACTCAAAAATCACCTCAGAGAATCCACTATCCCGTGCCCCTCTTGATGACTTTTGAGTCGACTCAAAAATCACCTCAGAGAATCCACTATCCCGTGCCCCTCTTGATGACTTTTGAGTCGACTCAAAAATCACCTCAGAGAATCCACTATCCCGTGCCCCTCTTGATGACTTTTGAGTCGACTCAAAAATCACCTCAGAGAATCCACTATCCCGTGCCCCTCTTGATGACTTTTGAGTCGACTCAAAAATCACCTCAGAGAATCCACTGTCCCGTGCCCCTCTTGATGACTTTTGAGTCGACTCAAAAATCACCTCAGAGAATCCACTATCCCGTGCCCCTCTTGATGACTTTTGAGTCGACTCAGAAATCACCTCAGAGAATCCTCTGTCCCGTGCCAGGTCATGTGCCGTGCCCCTCTTGCTTATCCATGCCTGCACCATGGCTCACTTTTGAGTAGACTCACAAGCAGACTCTTGCTCATCCAAACCTGCTCTATGGCTCTCTTGCCTGCACCCTGCCTCACCTGTCCAATGACGGTGATCCACAACTCGTCCTAGCAAGGCCTACAATCACAATAATTCACCAGTCAGCCTCTCACGACCCACCCCCCTCACCTGCACCCCACCCTCACCCTCACCTGCACCCAACCCTCACCCTCACCTGCACCCCACCCTCACCCTCACCTGCACCCCACCCTCACCCTCACCTGCACCCCACCCTCACCCTCACCTGCACCCCACCCTCACCCTCACCTGCACCCCACCCTCACCCTCACCTGCACCCCACCCTCACCCTCACCTGCATCCCCTTACATGCAATTCACCCTTCCACTTGGCCTCACCTGCAGCCGGCTTCTCAGCTTCTCCAGCTCTGCTGCCTCCCGCTCCGCCTCCTCCTCCTCTTCCTCCTCCACGCCCTTAGCGCTCATCCTCTTATACACCAGCCAGTCCTCGTCCCTCATTCCAAAATCATCCTCCTCCCCCGCTCCCCCTCCCCCTTTCCTCCCTTCCCCACCCCCCCCTCCTCCCCCTCCCCCGCCTCCTCCCCCCTTCCCTCCGCCCGCGCCTCTCCGCCCTTTCTTACTCTCAAACGCAGCAGCAGTCAGCAGCTTCATCCTCTCCCTGTGCGCAGCTGTGATTCGCTCCGTGCGCCCACCAGCCACGCTCCCAGCAAGGGCGCCTCCCAGCCCCACGCCAGTCGCCCCTGCAAGGGCACCAGCAGGGCCCCCCAGGGGAGTGATGTCTAGAGTCGCGCCTTTCACTGCCTGGCCTGAGGCTGCCGCTGCTGCTGCCGCCGCAAGAGAGAGCACAGGCGAGGCAGCAGCCACTGAAACTGCTCCTGCTCCTACTCCTGCTGCGGTTGCTGCGGTTGCTGCTGTTGCTGCTGCTGCTGCTCCCACTGCTCCTCCTACTCCTACCGCTTCTCCCCCACTGGCACCTCCTTCCGATCCCATGCCCTTCCCACCAGACTCTTCCCCTCCCACTGATGGCGACGCCGCAGCACCAAGAACCACCCCCCCTGCTCCCATCTTCCTCCGCTTCCTCTGCTCCAGTGCCACCTGCAGCTGCTGAAACCGCGCCCTCAGCTCGGCTGCATACGCCTCTGGGTTCTCCCTGCAGGGGAAACAAGAAGCAGCCGACGACGGGCAGGGCAACAAAGGGGATGGCATGGCAGCAAGACACAACAAAGGTGAAGTTGGAAAATAGGCTCCCACCCAGACCAGCTTCATGCAGCAAGCCGAATGCATGCAATGCAAAGCCGCTCGCTCACCAGCGCTCCCCCTTCCCTGCTCGACTCGTCCCCCACATCCTCACCTCGTCACCTCCGCTCCTCACCTCGTCATCTTATCTTCCTCTCCACATCATCTCATCTTCCTCTCCACGTCATCTCATCTTCCTCTCCACGTCATCTCATCTTCCTCTCCACGTCACCTCCTCTTCCTCCCCGCCTCACCTTCTCTTCCTCTCTTCTTCATCCCTCTCAGCGGCAGCTTTAGCCCGCTTCTCCTGGGCTGCCTGCCGCATCCTTGCCTGCCCCAACGCGACCTTAGAGGCACCTCAGAAGTAGCCCGATCCCACTCGCCTCACCTTCTCTTCCGCTCTTCTTCATCCCTCTCAGCAGCCGCCTTAGCTCGCTTCTCCTCTGCTGCCTGACGCATCCTCGCCTGCCCCAGCGCGATCCCTCGCATCGTCCGCTGCCGCCGCTTCTCCCGCAGCTGCCAGGCCAGAACAAGGGGAGGGAAGGTTGGAGAGAAGATTTGAGAACTGTTTGTATTGAACAGAAGGCCTAGAAGGTGAAAGGATGACAAGGCGAGGAGATGAAAAGAGGATGTGGGAAAAAAAAAGAGGGGAGATTTTGCAGGGTTGGGGAAAGAGAGGAGAAACTGTATCAGCTAGCAGCTGTCTAGATTAGAGAGATGGCTAATAAAGTGAAAATAACACTTTTGAGTCAACCGAACAACTCACCTCCTCGGCTGTCAGTTCTGCATCCGGGATATCAAGCAGCGGGTACAGCACCGACTCATCCTGCTCCTCCGCCCCCCCTGCCACTGATCCCGTCTCCCCCTCCTCCCCTTCCCCCTCCCCCTCCTCCCCCTCCCCCTCCCCCTCGCCCTCCTCCCCCCTCAGCTTCCTGAGAGTCGCCATGCACTTGGCAATCCCCTAGCGCAGGGTGCTGCCATGGTTGATGTGCCTCCTAACTAGTTGAGTAGATGTGCTGTTGGTGTCACGATGTGGAGTTTTAATTGGAATATATGTTGAGCATTTTTCACCATATATGTAGCGTACTGACAACTCAGTGTAATGGTGTAGGTTCAGCCCTGATCACTCAGGATAGTATCGAATCTCGCACTGAAGCGAGATGCAATGCGGGAAAAAAATTCAGACCAAATGTACCCAATCGAGGACATCAGCTTCGCAAACACGTGCAACTGCGGCAGGAAGCGAGCGAGAATCGATATGGCGACCACTAGCATGCTAGGCCGACGCCTTAGACACTGCACCACTTTCTAATGCCATATTACGTACCCTGAGTATTCAGTAAATCTTCTACTACAGCACTGACAGATCAGGGTACCTCAATCTGTGTAGCCCTGACGAATCAGGACAAAAGGTGCTTTTCTACTAAACAGCCCTGATGCATCAGTGTAGCCTAGAATGAATCTGAGGGCCTGATTTTCACCTAAATCACTGGTGCCAGGTAAATAGTTACAATATTCAAATATTTACAATAAATAACAATTTTTGGGTTGCGTAGCAACCCCTTTACATTTGGTAGCACTTTTTTCGGTCAACTCGAATGAACAGTGCACAATTTCGTCATTTTCCCAACGTATGAAGCACTCGCTTTAACGTTTTGAGAACGTGTGCTTCAAATGTGTGGAGATGACAGCACTGGTACACAAGAGTCTCCAAAAAAAGTGAAACCAAATGAGACCAATTATTCCATAATCGTCGATAAATACGGCGAATGGAAACAATTGGTACCCTCGCCATATTTTACGGTACATCACACACAATTGACGAGACAACAAAGTCGGCGTGGATGCAAATTACGGTATTTGCATCTACCGTATCGAACATGTGCAAAACGACAACACTTAACAGCAGCAAATGTCATGAAGTGAATGGCAAAATGCATCAGTGCTACAATAGCGATGGATCCGGTATGCTAAGGCGAGCAACGCTGCCCCAACAACGATCCCCACCTCAATTGCAGACCTGACACACTTTAACATGACACCTTACAACAAACACAAACGAGCACATGCGACATTGTACTGGTACAACAACGACAACGCATAACAATGAGTGTCTTGGGGAGAATGCTAAAATGCATCGATGATGCAACAAGGTTGGTCTGGCACGCTAAGGCTATTGCCCCACCGGCGATCACAACCTGAGTTGCATACACGAGGCACTTCAGCACACGCCTTGAGACAGACACAAACGATACAAACAACACGACTGCACATACATATCTCACACAGGCTCACACACACACATACTCACTGACACGCACGCAAACAAGCACAGATACATACGGATAGTCAGCACACAACCATCATGAAATTCAGCTATTAATAAATCATCACTAGCCAATCACCCCTTACCCTCCCTACACCCCTCCCTCCATCCCTCCCTCCCTCCCTCCCTCCCTCCCTCCCTCCCTCCCTCCCTCCCTCCCTCCCTCCCTCCCTCCCTCCCTCCCTCCCTCCCTCCCTCCCTCCCTCCCTCCCTCCCTCCCTCCCTCCCTCCCTCTCTCCCTCCCTCCCTCCCTCCCTCATCTCCCTTCTCCGCCAAAGCAGCTCACGCGCCCTGCACAAAGTAAAAACAGAGAACGCAACACGCCCTGCACAAGAAGCAAAAACAGAGGATGCAACTCATGTGCTCTGCGAGGAGACCAAGCAGGAAACAACAAAAACAAAGAGAGTACACCTCATAGCACTGCACAAGAAGACAAAGGCAGAGAATGCAGCTCACACACTAGAGACAAAATTAGCACAACAGAAAAACATGAGCTATCATATTGACAGCTCACAGAGGTAAATTGGTATTAGTCGTGGCACCACAGAGACTACACCAGCATGATGCCATACACTGAAGCCACCCTCGAGTTCAACTTCACACTCACGTTCGTACTCACTCTTGTACTCAATCCTGCACCCACTCACACACGACAAAAACTCTCAAATTTTTCTTAGACACACTCACAGATACCTACACGTTCACTCTGGCACTTACCCTCGCACTCATGTTTGTTCTCATTCCAATCATACTAACACAAATACTTCCACGTGCACGCAAGGACATTCACACGCACCCTTGCACATGCACTCACACTCGCACTTGCTCTCGCATTCACCCTAAGACACACACTTGCACGCAGTCTCGCCTTGCACTCACACGCACACCCACTCATCCTCGCACTCACCCTTGAACTACTCTCACACTCGAGCTCACACTCACCCCAAACCCTACACCATCATATTTACACTCACATTCACTCTCGCACTTGCTCTAACTCTTGCTCTCGTTCTCACCCTCGCACTCACCTAAACACGCACCCTTGAACTTCCTCTCATATCACCCGCATACATGCACTTGCACGCACCCTCGCACTTACCCTGAAGTACATGCGCATACTCACACTTGCAGTCACACCCGCTTTCGCACCCGAATATCGCCCTCTCACCCTCACACACTCTTGCAACCACTCACGAACGCACAATTACTTTCAATCGTTCTTAGACACACCCTCAGAAACACAAACACACACCCTTGCACTCACCCTCGAACACTTTCGCACTGGCTGGCGCGCAGAGTCGCCGGCACGGTGGCACCCTTGAATTCAACTCACACCCACACCCACACTCACGCTCACACTCGCCCTCGCACTCACCCTCGCACTCACTCTTCTACTTGCCCTCACACACCATCTCACACACCCTCGCACTCACACCCGCGCTCACGCTTGCACTCAACATCGCCGCCACCATCGAACTCACCATCGCACTCACTCTTCACTCAAACCCATGTAATGTACTCTCAACTCTTCTTCGCCAATCACAGAAACACACACACAAACTCTTGCACTCACCCTAGCACACACTCAAACGGACCCTCGCACTCCCCCTTGCACTCACACACACACTCACACTCGTACTCACCCTCAAACTCGCCCGGGCACTCAATCTCACAATTGCTCTCGCACTCACACTCGCGCTTACGCTCGCACCTGCTCTGTCGTTCACACTCGCACTTGCCCTTGCCTGAACAACCGCACTCACCCGCAAGTGCACGCGCACATCCAAGTCTCGCCCTCACGTCGCCCGTACCCAAGGCGCGGCACCCTAAGTGCAAGCGCCCACGGCGCCCGCGCCCACTGCACCAGCGCCTTAGGCGCCAGCACCCACGGCGCTCGCGCCCAAGGCGCCAGCGCCCCCGGCGCAAGCGCCCACAGCGCCAGCGCCTCATGGGGCAGCACCCACGGCGCTCGCGCCCTAAGCGCAAGCGCGTTAGCTGCTAGCACCCACGGAGCCCGCGCCAACGGCGCCAGCGCCCACGGCGCCAGCGCCCTAAGCGCAAGCACCTTATGCGCCAGCGCCCATGGCGCAAGTGCCTTAGGCGCAAGCGGCCACGGCGTCTGCGCCATAAGCGCAAGCGCCTTAGGCGCCAGCAACCACGGCGCTTGCGCCCACGGCCCCAGCGCCCTAAGCGCAAGCGGCTAAGGCACAAGCGCCATTGGCGCCCGCGCCGACGGCGCAAGCGCGCACGGTGCTCTCTCTCGCGCCTCTCCCTCTAGTGCTTCCTTAGCTCTCACACGCGTACTCTCCTGCGCTCTCGCTCCCTCGCGCTCCCTCTTCCCCCTCTTCAAATGGTAGTGCAACGCAAGCGACAAATCAACACACAGAAACTACAAATAAGATAGGAAGATACCTACACGTTCATTCTGACCAAAATCGGAAATATAGGAACTTTCAGTAGGGGGAAAGGAGGAAAAAAGGACCGGGAAGGGTAAACGCACCTGCAATTCACGGTGCAGAGACAAACCCGCGCTCGCGCACCAGCTTGCTCGTGACCTGTCGACAGAGTCGGCGGCGGGATGGGAGGGTGAGGCGACGGCGGGATGGGAGGGAGAGGCGACGGCGGGAGGAGGGAGCGGCGACGGCGAATGGGAGGGAGCGGCGACGGCGGATGGGAGGGCGAGGCGACGGCGAGGAGGAGGGAGAGGCGACGGCGGGGAGGAGGAGAGGCGACGGCGGGGAAGAGGGGCGGGGAGGAGGAGAGGCGACGGCGGGGAGGAGGAGAGGCGACGGCGGGGAGGAGGAGAGGCGACGGCAGGGAGGAGGAGAGGCGACGGCGGGGAGGAGGAGAGGCGACGGCGGGGAGGAGGAGAGGCGACGGCGGGGAGAAGGAGAGGCGACGGCGGGGAGGAGGAGAGGCGACGGCGGGGAGGAGGAGAGGCGACGGCGGGGAGGAGGAGAGGCGACGGCGGGGAGGAGGAGAGGCGACGGCGGGGAGGAGGAGGGGCGACGGCGGGGAGGAGGGAGAGGCGACGGCGGGAGGGAGGGAGAGTCGACGGCGGGAGGAACGGAGAGGCGACGGCTGGAGGGAGGGAGAGGCGACGGCGCAGTGGGAGGGAGAGGGGATGGTGGGGTGGAATGGAGAGTGGATGGCGGGGTGGGAGGGAGCAACGATGGAAAGGTGGGTGAGAGGGAGAGGCGATGACGAGGTGGGAGGGTGAGGCAACAGCTGGTGGGGGAGGAGAAGCGATGACGGGGTGGGAGGGAGTGGCAAACAAGAAACTACAGTAACCGAACTGGGAGAAGGGAGGAGGCATGAAACACAACACGAAAAAGAAGATGGAGCAAAACAAAATGAAGCGATGAACAGAATTTGCGCACCTCCCAGAAAAAGACGACGCATGAAACAATTTGTATATAGAAACCCGAAAACGATGGGGCAATTTGAAAGCCAGCACAGAACTTGGGCACTTGGAAATTTAAAACAAAAACCAAACGCTGGTGCCACGTGAGAACACACGGATAATCAAGTGAAATTTGTGTTAGGTGGAAAACAACTCATTTTGAACCACACTTTTGCTAGAGCAAGAACCTGGCAGTTCAGTGTTACAGAATATCATATTGGTTAACTAGATTTTATAACTAATTCATTAAACAACAATAAATTGTTCGATAGATTCGCCCAGAGTTTAGCAATTAAATCATACACCAACTCTTTATTCCATTATCAATAACTAACTAGCTTGTTATATTCATCAACACATGAAAATTAAACTCAGTGCTATATAAATACATCAAATTGTTTGTCCTCGAGTTTTTTAAAATATGAATGTGACATCTACGCAACCCTTCCGACGTTAACGTCGAATCTTGTTTCACCATTTCTCAGCGCAGCAGTGACTACTAGCCTATAGTCAGACTCGGTTGTACGGTAAAGGAAACCTAGTATGATGTTCTAAAGAATGTTGGACAGTATGCGGAATCCTCATGGATTCAGTATTTTGACTGCTACAAAACACCTGCAGAAATAAGTTGGCCAAACATATATTTTAACTGGCTAAACGTCAAGAAAAGTGAATCTACACAATGATTTGAAGTCTCAGAACTCAAGGTCATCCTCTTCTACAATTTCAGGCAACGGGCCATCGGAGTCAGAATCAAATCCAGTCAATGCAGCAACTGAAGCTGCAGCACCTCCAGATGCATCCCTCCCTCTCCCACCACCAGCAGCACCAGCAGCAGCACCACCAGCAGCTGCAGCAGCAACAGCACCACCAGAACCAGCAGCAGCAGCAGCAGCAGCATTACCAGCTGCAGAACCAGCTTGCCCTTCTTGTCCCGACCCTACAACCCCACCAGAACCCATACCCAAACCTGCAGTCCCCGGACCTCCAGAACCCGAACCTGGAGTTCCCGAGCCTCCAGTCCCCAGGTAGCCAGACTCCTGTAGCATGCGAGCCATGGCAGCAGCCTTGGTTCGGGACTCCCTCGCCCTCCTCGCAGCCTCCAGCCCAGCAGCATCTGCCTCCTCCACCGTGGTTACCACCTTCCTTGCCCCGTAACCATGCGAACCTGCGGATGCCGAACCTGCTAGCGCCGAACCTCCTCCGGTCCGAGCCTGCTCTTTGGCCTGCCTCCCTGTTCCGGATCCGCCTGTCGACCCACCAGCACCAGCAGCACCAGAAGCACTGGCAGCCCCAGCACCAGCACCAGCAGCAGCGGCAGCAGTGCCTTGGTCATTCTTAGAAGCGCCTCTCCTGCTCTTACCAGCAGAACCACTGCTGGCAGCAGGTGCAGCAGACGCGGAGGGGGAAGCACCAGCAGAGGCAGAGGGGGAGGAGGGGTCATTGGCACTAAGGAACCTGGCCACAGCCGGTGCCAGCGTCTTGATGAAAATCTCCTTTCCCACATCTCTACGCTTCCCTCCCTTCTCCGCTCCTCCCGCTCCTCCGCCTGCTCCTCCTGCTCCTGCTCCCCCTCCTGCTCCTGCTGCTGCCCCTTTTCCTCGCTGGTTCGCCCCTCCTCTCCCTCGCCCCCCACCTCCTTTGTCGCTCTGTGATGAAACCGCAGGTGCTGCAGCCGCTCCTGCTGCTGCTTCTTGTTGTGATGGCGCTGCTGCAGCAGCAGCAGCAGGAGCAGGAGGAGGAGCAGGAGCAGGAGCAGGAGGAGGGGCCATGGGCATGGCAGGACCAGCAACAGGAACGGCAGTGCCGTCAGTATCCATAGGCATGGCTGCTGCTTGCCCCTCCATGGACTCTAATCCACCCGATGATCCCAAGGCTGCTCCGGTCGCCGCCTGTCCTAGATCAGCGACCGTGTTACCTCCCCCTACGGTAACACCTGCCCCGGGCCCACCAGTACCACCTGCACCAGGTGCGCCTCCCCCAATCTCCATCAGGTCGTGCCCGAATGTGCCATACCCGTCTACTTCCGTCCACAGGTCCGCTAACGGCCAAACATCGCCGCCCAGCGCTCCAAGCCCCGTGGCACCACCACCCATTCCGCCTCCCATGCCGCCATCCATCCCCCCTCCCATCCCCCCTCCCATCCCCCCGCCCATCCCTCCGCCCATCCCGCCTCCCATCCCCCCACCCATTCCCCCACCCATCCCCCCTGCAAACCCTCCACCCCCGCCCCCAGCTGATCCAGCACCCACTCCTCCAAGCATCCCCCCATACGCCCCCACTCCACCTCCTCCCCCTGCTCCTCCCCCTATCCCTCCGCCATCCCCCATCCCCCCAGCACCCCCTCCCACGGCAGCAGAGAGATTCATGGCCATAGAGCCAGGGACAGGCAGCGGGGCGGCAGCAGGGGCGGCGAGAGTCGTCTGGGCGGCGGGCGGCAGCAGGCTGCCGGAACTGGCCGGCAAAGTGGATGGCCGGCTGGCAGAAGGGGCCGGCGAGCCGCTCAGATTCTGCTGCTGCTGCTGCTGCTGCTGCAAATTCTCCTGTTGCAACTGTTCCTGCTGCTGCAACTGCTGCTGCTGCATATGCTGCTGCTGCTGCTGGTGCTGGTTCGGTGGGGGCTGAGAGGGAACAAGCAGCGACGAGAGCGGGTGGATGGAGGAGGAATGCGGAAGACACCTGGGATGCAACACCGGCTCGAGGGCTAGCAGAGCAAAGGAGCAGAACGCAGCTACCTCCGTCCCTAGCTGTTGCCTCCCCTGCCGGAATATCCTAAGCGCTTGACCGAGGTACGGTGGGCGGTATTTGCACGGGGCTAGGAGGGAGGCTAGGAGCGCACGAGATGCTGCCAGCTGGAGCGATCTGATTGCACGATCGGACCCGGGCGTCCAGGGCATGTGCGCGTGGGTGGTGGAGGAGTTGTAACCGGAGTTGTAACCGGGGGTGGAGTTGAAACCGGAGTCATAACCGCCGGTGCCGAGGGCGATGGCAGCGGTGCAGGTGAGAGCTGCGTCTACCTCCATTCTCCAGTGCTCCAGTAAGAGAGGGCCGCCCTGGGAAGGGAGTGGAGGGAGGCAGGCAGACGGGAGGAGAGGAAAGGAGAGCAGAGAAGAGGAGAGGAGAAAAGGAAAAAGTGGGTCGCACTGGAGGGGAGACATGAAGTGGGGACCAAGGGGATTCAAAGCCAATGAAGTGGTGATGAATGAAAGGGAATTTAGACAGCCGCCCATACACACGTTGAACGCAACACTCTCTATCCCCCTCTAACTCACATATACTCTGCCCCTGCCTGCTTCCCCCCTTCTGTCCACAACCTCTCCCATTCTCGGACTCTCCCTCCACACTCTCCCTGTTCCACGCTCGCCCCCTCACACTCTCCCCGCTCACACAAAGCCACTGCTACACTCTCCCCTCACACACTCACCGCCACCAGGAGCGCCTCTAGAGCTTCCAGAATCGCGATCTGCAGATCCACGGTCTGCAGGCACCGACTGCCCGAGATAACACCTGCCCCAGTTGCACCTCCCCCCACCCCTCCCCCTCCCCCTCCGCTGCCCGCTCCCCCCAGCTTCCCGCTGCCTGCTGCAGCGCCGGGAGCGGCGTCGAATGCCATGCTGCCACCTGGCGAGCGCTGATTGGTCGGGGAGAAGAGCGCCGGCACGGCCTGTTTGAGGTCGGTGATTCCGCGCCCCACGACTATTGGGGCGATCTGCGTCATCATGCCTGGAGAGACGGGGGGAAGGGGCACGTAGGTGGGAGGGAGGGGATAGAGGGGAGAGGGAAGGGGAAGGGGGAAGGCGGGGGAGTGGGCACTTCGAGGCACGGCCTGCTTGAGGTCTGTGATGCCCCGACCCACCACTATGGGGGCGATCTGTGACACCATGCCTGTAAGAATGGGGAGAGGGGGAGGGGGGAAAGGGTGAGGGGGCGGGGGGGAGAGGGGAAGGAAACGGATATGGGGACTGGTAACACAGGCACATCAACTCACCCCTGCCAACTTCCAAGTGCATATAAATACTGGTCTTCTGACATAATTCTCAGCGAGCAGTATAAATACACGTGAAACGAGGGTGTTTTTGAGACGTCTCAAAAACACCCTCATTCCACCTCAACTCACCCCTGCCAACTTCCAAGTATAATGAACCGCGCAGGGTATACAATCCTCGACTGTGTGGCCGTGCGCGGTAGAGCAGCGCCCTGAAGGGCAGTGAAGGGGAGTAAGGGGCGCGTGATGGGACAGGCATGCACCTCAACCCACCCGCGCCCAGGGAAAGGAGGTACTGTGTGGCAGCACTGACACACCCAGACGACTCACCAGCGCCCAGCGCATAGAGGTATTGAGTGGCCGTGCGGTAGAGCAGCGCCTTGAAGGGCAGTAAAGGGCAGTATGGGGTGTGATGGAACAGGCACCTCTACTCACCCGCGCCCAGCGCATAAAGGTACTGTGTGGCCGTGCGGTAGAGCAGCGCCTTGAAGGGCAGAGCTGTGGCGTCATCCCCCGCTGCTGCTGCCCGGCGAAAGGCTGAGACGAGTGTGTGTGATATGGTGGCTGCATGGGGCAGAATGTGGCTGCGAGGGGGGGAGAGGGAGGGTGGGAAGAGAGAGCAGAGAGGGATGGAACTGAGAAAGGCCGACACGAGCGTGTGTGAGATGGTGGCTGCATGCGGGAGGATGTGGCTGCGAGGGGGTGACGAGGGAGAGAAGTGGGGAAAGGGGGAAGTGAGAGGGTGTGTGGCGAAAGGCTGATACGAGCGTGTGTGAGATGGTGGCTGCATGCGGGAGGATTGAAAAAAAGGCAAAGAGGGGAGAGGAGGAGGTGGGAGGGGAAGGAGGGGAAGGAAGTGGAGGAAGGGGAAGCAGGGGAGGATGGAAGTGAGAAGGTGTATGGTACACGTCCGAAGATTCACGATTTTTTCAGAATTCTCAAAAAACAGAGGAGGGATGCGAGAAGGTGTATGGTACACGTCCGAAGATTCACGATTTTTTCAGAAGTCTCAAAAAACAGAGGAGGGATGCGAGAAGGTGCATGGTACACGTCCGAAGATTCACTATTTTTTCTCACTTCCTTAGCGCACCATTTGATCACTTCATCAGCACTCAATTTTCAACTCCCTCCAACACACCACACCCACTTTCTCACTCCCTCCCATCCAACCCTTCACACTCATTTCCTCACTCTCTCCACCCCTTCACACTCACTTCCTCACGCCCTGCAGCGCGGCCAGCATCATCCTCAGCCCCCCGCCCCGCACACTGCACTGCTTCTCGCTCTTCCTCACCACACCATTTCCAACCACACTCACTCCCTCTCTCATTCCATCACCCACTCACTTTCTCACTCCCTGCAGCGCGGCCAGCATCATCCGCAGCCCCGCACACTGCAGCACCAGCACCTATGTTAACATTGTTTTTGAGAATTCCCAAAAGCAACCACACCACACTCACTTCCTCACGCCCTGCAGCGCCGCCAGCATCATCCTCAACCCAGCACACTGCAGCGCCGGCAGCTCCACACACAGCGCCAGCTGGCGGGCGGCAGAAAACGCCGAGCCCATGCCGTCCATCCCTCCGCCCGCATCAAAAGCATCCCCTCCCCCCCCTCCCCCTCCTCCTCCTCTCCCTCCTCTCCCTCCAGAAGCGAGGAGAGAGAGGGGGATGACCATCCCGGTGCCCTCCACTTGGGTGAGTCGAATGACGGCATCGGCTGATACAAGGCGGTGGGAAACGGCGAGCAGGGCGGAGAGGGGCGCTGGGACCTGGGAGGAGGGGGGGAAACAGTGGGAGGGGGGAAGTTGCAGTCAACACGTGAGGTGAAGGGGAGTGGAGGCAGGTGAGAGAGCAGGGCGGAGCGGGGCGTTGGGATCTTGGAGGGACAAGGAGCAACGAAGGGAGGAGACGAGCAGAGAGAGATGAATCGAAGAGGATCGATTGACTGAAAAGACCGATCCCATGGCCTGCAGATGAAACAGCCTCGTTGTGGTGGTGTTGCTGAGACAAGGCGGAGTGCGAGAGCAAGCAGAACCGAGAGGGGTCTATTGAGAGGGGTCTATACGTAACAGCACCAGCACCATCCATGCATGCATGCACCACGTTGGACAGCTAACCCCTCTCCGTGGGTGCAGGGATCCCCTGAGTGGTCTCCAGCTGGCAGTTCAGGATCATTGAGAGGTGCCTGAAAACACCAATTCAGCCATATCGATGCTTTTCCCCCCAATTAAGCAACCCACCGGTGCAGGGAAAACGCAAACCCACCGGAGCAGAGAAGCCCTGAGTGATGGTCAGCTGGCACGTGAGCAGCAGCGCGTGCAGCCGTGGCACCACCCGCCGAAACACCGCCTCGGGATCTCCGCCACCACCGCCGCCGCTGCTGCTGCTGCCGCCACCACCACTGGTGCTACTGCTCCGAGGGTTGCCGTTTGCGTTTCGATTTGAGGCCTGCCCTCCCCGCTGCCCCTGCCCGCCTGATTCCTGCTGCTGCTCGTCCTCTTTGGTGCAGTTAGAGGCGATCCAGTGTGCATGCTCGGGGACCAGAGGCACTGGCAGGGCTGCACTCTTGGAGTGCAGGAGCGTTACCAGGGCCTTGGACCGCACAGATTCTGTCGTGTGAAGACAGAGACAAAAGGCGGGAGGGGTGATGAAGAGATAATATTTGGAATTTCTCAAGAACCACTGGCACCGGCAGCAGGGCCGCTGCGCTGCTGGAATGAAAGGAGCTTTGCGAGGGCCTCACGCCTTAACCAGCACACATACCAACACCAGCACACATGACAGCACCCACAAGCACCAGCTCACACACCTTCGCCAGCTCACACCTTCGCGGCTCGGAGCTACCAGAGCGAGGGCTCAAGCTTTCACCTGCACTCACAACTGAAAGCACCACTTGCAGCACCAGTGACAGCACTCACGCCCCTTACCATCCTCGAAGCCAGAGAGCAGAGTGTCAAGGTCCGCGTGTGTGGAGAGCAGCAGGCGGCGCATGAAAGCCGACCAGAGTGAGGGGTCATTGGAGGCACGGGGTAGTAGCACCAGCAGGCTGCAGCAGGACTGGTGTGGGAGTGGGTGGGGGAAGAGGGAATGTTCCTTCAAATGAGTTGGATATCGGATATCACAAGTTGGGAAATGATGAGCCGACTCTACAGTCTACTACTACAAGTCATTTTGGGATACCCGCAACACGTGAACGATGGATGCAGGTGCATGCACTAGGAGATGACAGCTTGGCCACACACACACACACACGCACGCACGCACGCACGCACGCACGCACGCACGCACGCACGCACGCACGCACACGCACGCGCACACCCAAACACACACACACGCGCACACGCACGCACGCACATGCACGCACGCACGCATACGCACGCGCACACGCACACACGCACACACACACGCACGCACGCACGCACGCACGCACACACGCACGCACGCACGCACGCATGCACACGCACACGCACACTCACACGCACACGCACGCGCACGCGCACATGCGCATCACCCATACCCACAAGAATCAGAGGATTGGGAATAATGAGTCGACTCTACAAGTCATCGTGGATCCCCGCAACAACCCCCCACACTCACATGGACTATGGATGCGGGTGCATTGGGAGATGAGAGCTTGGCCACCAGCAGAGCCTCCATCTGCAGTTAGTGGGGGGATGGTGTGAAGGAGGGATTGAAAAAAAAAATCCGAGTCGACCCAAGGTGCATTGAGTGACTCAATCCACACCAGGGTGTGGCGTGGAGGTAAGGACGGAGAGCGGAGCGGAGGGAGGATGGAATCCACAATCCACAAAGAAAGCGCAATAAGAATCGTGATGCAATAACAGCATTGTAGTGAAAAGTGAATCACGCGCCATGCGCACATACTGCGGCAGTAGTAGTAACAATAACAGTAACAAAAAAAACATGAACAATTGATTACATACCGCTGGAACGTGATGCTTGAAGCTGGAGGGGAAGGAGCGGAGCAGCAGAGAGAGCAGCGAGAGGCACACGCTCTGGCAGACGGGCAAGGGCGCGTGAGACGAGCAGAGGGGGTGGGAGGGAGGGTGAGAGGGGGATACCGTTTGGGAGGGAGGTAGGGAGAGAGGGAGGGAGGGAGGGAGGGAGAGAGGCGCCTCAAAAACCACCGGCAGAATAGATTTTGAATGCATCTGAATAAACCCCGAGTGATTTCCAACAAGTAGAGACACAATTTCAAACGCCAGTGTGCCACCCACCCATGCCTGCGTGCTCTCAGTGCCGCCCATCATCTCCGCCAGAAACGGCCAAAGCTTGCCGGCCAGAGTGCCAGCCTCCTTACGCACGCTCTGCACATGAGACAAAGTTGCCAGCCTGGCATGAGGAGAGAGGGAGAGAGGGAGGCACATGCATTAGCATGGTAAGCACGTACGAATGTGGGTGTGTGTGTGTGCATGTGCGTGAGCATGTGACTGTGTGTGCATGCGCACATGTGTTCATGGGTAACCTAGTTCGATGGTCTACACAACACCATACCACACCGCACCGCACCGCACCTTGAGGAAAGGTCAGCGAGGGCAGCAGCAGCAGCCACACGCACAAACATCGTATCCTGTACTATGGTCTCTTTGCCCTTCCCACCCCCCCTCTCCTTCTCCTTCCCCCTTCCATTCCCCCTCCCCTCCTTCCCCTCCTTCCCCTCCTCCCCCTCCTCTCCCTCCGCCTCTTCCCCCTCCTCTTCCCCCTCCTCCTCCTTCCCCTCTTGCTGCTGTTGCGCGCCCTTCTCGCCCCCCCCACCCGCTCCTTTTGTCTTATTCGCCTTCAGCAGGGCGGCTAGCCGCCCCCACCACTTGGCGTACGTGTCAACCACGCGCTGAGCTGTGCTCTCTGCACACGTGGCACCTGCCAGCACACATGCCGCCCACCGATTGGCCGGCTGGGGGAGGAGTAGAAGAGGAGGAGCGTCGGATTATAAAGTGGGAGAGGGGAGGGGAGAACTGGTTGGGTAAAATTCAATGAAAGGAGAGACAAGGAGAAGTAAAGAGAGGTAAAGAAAGGTAAGGACAAGTACGGAGAGGTACAGAGAGGTAAGGACTCAATCTCTCTCACACAAATCACTTCCTTCCAGCACCTTACGCTACCAGCAACAATCAGAAACCAGAACCCAACCCACCAGCGGGGATGCCAATAACGCGAACACCCTGCTGCACCAAGCGTCAACAGCCCGCCTCCTGGGATCGTTACCGCTCCCCACGGCCGCCCAGTCCGGTTCCACGGCTAGAACGTGTTGCTCCCGCAGCACCCCCACCGCCGCCTGCACCCTGGCCATGTCGATGGGGTCTTTAGGGGAAGCTGGCAGGAAGGAGGTGAGGAGGGACTGTAGGAGACGCAGGCGCAACCGGGGGTCCTGTGAGGGGAAGAGGGGAGCAAGACCATGGGGAATCCGGGACGGAGAATGGGGGATGAAGGAGATTACGGCAGGGTGGGATCATTGCTGCTCCCCACGGCCGCCCAGTCCGGTTCCACGCCCAGCACGTGTTGCTCCCGCAGCACCCCCACCGCGGCGCGCACCCTGGCCATGTCGATGGGGTCCTTGGGCGAGGCGGGCAGGAAGGAGGTGAGGAGAGATTGTAGCAGGCGTAGACGCAGACGGGGGTCCTGTGGGGTGCAAGGAAAAATGGGGGCATGGGGAACCCGGGATGGAGAACGGGGGATGAAGGAGATTGTTGTGTTAGGGTGGGTGGGCGCAGAGCAGCACCCCCACGGCCGCGCGCACCCTGCCCATGTCGATGGGTTCCTTGGGCGAGGCGGGCAGGAAGGAGGTGAGCAGGGATTGTAGGAGACGCAGACGCAGACGGGGGTCCTGTGCGGTGCGAATGGGGAGTAGGGGGACGGGAAATAAAATGTAATGGGGCAGAGTGAGTCCAGCGCCTCAACCCTACCGCCGCCCAGTGGGGTTCCGTTCCAGCGTCTTTGAGAGGTCCCAGTCCGGTTCCACCGCCAGCACGTGTTGCACCACGCGTCCACAGCGCGCCTCCTGGGGTCATTTCCGCTCCCCACGGCCGCCCAGTCCGGTTCCACGGCCAGCACGTGTTGCTCCCGCAGCGCCCCCACAGCCGCGCGCACCCTGCGAGGTGGGGAGGAAAGAGGCGAGCAGGAATTGTAGCAGGCGCCGGCGCATGCGGGGGTCCTGTGCGGTGCAAAAGGGAAGTTGGGGGGTGGGGGATGAGATAGAATGCGGCAGGGTGGACGCAGGAAGGAGGACAGGAGGGACTGCAGCAGGCGCAGACGGGGGTCCTGTAGTGGGGGGGGAGTGGGGGAATGGTGCATGGAGCAGGAACATCATGCTTTTCGCGTGAGATGAGGCAACTTTTGAGGCGCCTCAAAAGAGGGAGTGGAGGGATGGTGCATGGAGAGCGGTGAGAGGTGGGGGGGGTGGGGAGGGGAGGGAGAGTGGGGGGCTAGAATGAACGAATTTGCTGGGAAGGTCGACGGGTTTCGGGTTTCCAAGAAAAGAGGCCCTTTTTTCACGCCGCCAGGCTATATCCACGCGATGTGGCAGCAGTTAGGGTTTCCGGACCTGAGGTTCGGAGCGCAGCGCCTGACTGTTGAACGCACCTGCGCGCCGGTGAGCACGTCGTTGCCCATCAGGAGCGATTTGCCCGCCATCCCCGCCGTCGGGTGCGGCTGCTGCGATCGCAACGACTGCATCCTTCCTAAACCTCCTAAGTCAAATCCGCGATTCGATCCAAATTTCCCGTGATTCGCGGCAGTGTCTGCTCCAGCCTTGCGGTGTAGGCTCGCGACGACCGCCGAGCGCCTCGCCAACGTCAAAGCGGCGGCGCACGCGAAGGTCACGGTAGCAGCAAATCTACACAGATTACCTCTAGAGATGTCGTGAAAGTGGAGCTTAACCAAGAAAGACCCCTAGGGCGGATAATTTGAGCAAGTTACTGGAGGTTTTAACTCTAGGTAGTAACTTCAGGGGCGGGCCGGACTTGTGCGAATGCTACGGAGGCGAGGACGGGGGAGTGTCGCTAGAAGACTTGGAAGAAAATTCCCCAACATTGAGTTTAGGGAACCTTAGGCTGGAGGAGCTTGGAGGCATGGTTGGGGGTTAGGGCACAAGGACAAGAGGTGATTGATTGTCTATGCGTGATTGGATAGCGGAACATGAGGAAATTCCAAACCCCGCAACTCGCCTGTCTGTTTCGCAGGAAGGCGCGGCTATGGCCTCACTTGCCTCCATGGAAGAAGAGATGGGGAAAACAGTTGACGTCGCGAACAATCTTCGCATACTGGACCGCGCGTCGTTGTAGTCGCGAACGAGCTGCGACAGCAAATGTATCGACACGACACGAATCTCGACAACCGTTTTCATCGCAGCGCTTCGCGAAAGAAGAGCACGAGTGTACAGTGTACACCTGAAGTCTTGCGGCGCCGCGTCAGAAATGAAGCAGCTTGCCGGCAACTGGTCGAACATGGAACTGCACTTCATCAGTGTTAGCGAATCACGAACTGCAGTCAGTAAAGCGAATGTTCTCGTTACCTCGCTCGAATGGAACTCGCGAAACTGGCATTGCAGACCTAGTGCCACTTTTGTTTGAGCGAAACACGGTTACTCGAACACATTCTTGTCGTAAGCCGCAGAAATACGGTTGCCCAACCAACAATGCAGCACACCACCGCCATTTTTTGTTGACATCTGTTCCCCTGGAAACCATGGGTGCTGTGCCTATTCTGTCCGTATGCACGGACTGAGATAAGTTCAGTTTCCATTCATCATGCAGAACATTTCCCAAAGTAAACCCTGAAACTCCTGAGTCATGCCCAACCAACCCTGGGGATTGCAAAGATAAAAGGGTTGCGTGCAGTGCGCTACGGGAGTTGGGGGATGATTGAAGTGACAACAAAACATATTGATGCCAGGAAGAGCAGTGAGGGGGTGAGGGGGGTACGGAAAATGGTAAGAAATTGAGGAACCAATGTTTATGTACGGTACGTATGCAAGTATCATCCGTTATTCCACCACAACCTTAGCAAGAAGACCTTTGCAAGACGACCTTTGCAAGACGGGCAGAAACCAAAAGCCAGAGGCAAAAGCGCAGCACAAACAAATGACACGCCTTATAGGCAAACATATCCCTATGACTTTCCCCGACTGAGAACATTATTGCTGTGTTATTTACCATGTGTTCCAAAAACATAGAGTGAAAACAGATCCAGCCTGCTCCGGCGTCCCTCGTTGCGTTTCCTCTTCTGCTGTATCGGCTGCTGCAGTGGCTGCCTCTGTGACTGCTGGGGGTGACTGTGTGGCTGTTTCAGTGGCTGTTTCAGTGGCTGCTGAAGGTGTATGTAGCAGCTACTGCCTCTCTTTTCTGATGTAGCGGCTGCTGTGGAAACTGCTGTGGGTGTCCTGTAGAGAGGCTGCAGTAGCTGCTACTGTTGGCGAGTCTGGGAAAGATATGAGGTGATCGCTTGATTCAGACAATGGCTTGCGAGGATCTTGGGCTGGTGCAGAGTGGTGATGAGAGGTCGGAGGGGGTACATTGGCGTAAGACGATGGGGATGGCAGGAAGCTGAAATTTTGTGAAACACAACGAAAGGCGATAGCAAGAGGTCGACACGAGGGTGACAATAGGGTGGCAAGGGGGTGGCAAGGGGGTGACAAGAGGTGACGATCGGGTGACACGAGATGGCATGCGGGCGGCAAAAGTTGTCCAGTGTGGTGAAAACTGAGTGTTGGGGAGACAAGCACGTGGACATGGCAGCAAGGTGGGCAACACAAGGAAGCAGCTTCAGGACCTGCAGTGTTGATCAGAGGTAGGGAGGACGGCACCAAGGCACCGCATCACATCACCGTGAACGGCAATCTAAATATGGAAAATCAAGCGGCAACTTGTGTAGGTAGCAACTTACGAGGCAAGAGGCAACCTAAGTGGTAAGTGTCCAACCCCGTTCTCCCGCTGTCACTTACCTAAGTGTCAATACTTTGGTCGCTTCATGGGCCCGCCAGACCCAGACCCCATTGGCCTCTTCCCCATAGGCGGAGGGGGACCCCTCCCGCTCCCCCCTTTCCCCATTGGCCTCCCCCCACTCCCTCCCCCTCCCCCTCCTCCCCCCGGTCTCCCCCCGCTGCCTCCCCCCATCGGCCTCCCCCCTCCCCCTCCGGATTTCCCCATAGGCCCCTTCCCCATCGGCCTCCCCTCTGGACGCCCACTCCACCCCCCCTTCCCCCCGCTCCCTCCCCCTCCCCCTCCCCCTCCCCCTCCTCTCGCATCCCCAGGCCTTCCCCCACCACCACTCCCCCCTCCTCCCCCCCCACCCCCTCCCCCTCCCTTCCTCCTCCTCCTCCTCTCCCCCTCACTATCATACTCCTCCCCCTTCTCCCGATCCTCCCTTAAAGCCTTCGCTTCAAGCTCATCCCACGTCGGACCCTCCTCCTCCTCCTCTTCCTCCTCCTCCCCCTCCTCCTCCTCACTATCCACCACACTCTCGTCATCCTCGCTCTCGTCATCGTCATCGTCGGATGCAGCCTCCTCCAGATCCGACGGCTCGTACGCCTGCGATTCCTCCGACTCCTCCCCCTCGCTATCCGACGCTTCCAAATTCAGAAACTCCCACCCGCCGTCCGCTAGAAACGCCTCGGGGTCACTCATTATATTCTGCAGGATAGCCTTCCAGCTGAGATTCAGCCGCGACTCATAGTACTTGATGTTCATCGAATTCAGCCATTCTTTCACCGAGTCGAGCGACGTGCTCGGAATCGCATCAATCCGCAGCACGTCCCGCTTGAAATCCTTGAAAACAATCGCCATGTCGAAAGTTTTCTGCCCGAGACCCACGCGCTCCAGATTCACAATCTCGACCTCGTTCAGAGTGACCACCAGGAAGGGCACCTCGATAAGCTCCACGAGGCAGTTCACCGTCGGTACGATGAATGCGGACGACTTGTGCGGCACGCCGTGAAACCCTAATTCCCGGAACGGCACGTCGAATTCGAGGTCGAGACGAGCAAGCTCGCGGTCCTTCTCCCAGAGAGAATGCACCGCGCTGACAAAGGATTTGAACTCCCGGTTGATCTTGCTCCGCCGCTCCCGCTCCCTCTGCTCCTCCTCGATTTCGTCCGGGTCGTAAGCCGAGCGGCGCGAGCCGCCCACTGTTTGGACGACCTCCATGACCTCGGCGAAAAACTGCATGTCTTTCGTCTTTTTCTTGCCGACCATGATGGGGTTGTGCAGGTGGAAGTGCAGCAGGGTGATCATCTCGTTCTCGGCGGGCTGAAAGAAGGCGTGCTTGATGTTGCCATACATCACCTCCACCCTCTCGTCCGGCTGGTAGGGGGGGAGGAGTGTTGAAACAGGGGAGGGGGGGTAAAGGAAGGCGCGAGCAGGAACAGCGGGAAAGAGAGGCAGAAGGGGCTTTAGTTCCCCACAGATGGCAACTGCAAATCCCCCGGACGGGTCAGGCGGGTGAGGCGGGTTGTGCAGGTGGAAGTGCAGCAGGGTGATCATCTCGTTCTCTGCGGGCTGGAAGAAGGCGTGCTTGATGTTGCCATACATCACCTCCACCCTCTCGTCCGGCTGTAAGGTGGTGGGGGGGATGGGGGGGGAGCAGTGACCAGGGAGGGAAAGGAAGACGAAACAAGAGAGGAAAAGGGTGCGGTTCAGGCTTGATGTTGCCACACATCACCTCCACCCTCTTGTCCGGCTAGTGGGGGAAGGGGAGGGACGAGAGGGCCAAGATCATCTCATCACACAACTGACCTTCGCACTGGAATACCAAAGCCCTTTCTCATCTGCTTCTGCACACCACATCACGCACGACACATCAGCAACATACACCATGCACCACACCACAACAAGCTACCGCATGCCACCGCACACCGCTGCACAACCCACCTTGGCAGTGGAATACCGGAACCCGTTCAGATGAGCCTCCAGTGATCCTGTGAGTTTGCGCCCCTTCCCGCCGAACGATGGGCGGATCCAGAGGTCCGGCAGGCGCGGAGGGCGGCCCTTGCTGAGCTGGAGCTTCTCCTGCGTGACAAGTGTCGCTCTCTCAGCACGCTCCGACTCCCGCTGCCGCACATGCTTGCTCATCGTCTTGATCAGTTGCACCACCTGGTGGAAGACGGGGATAAAGAGACGAGGATTGGGGGGTTAGAGAAAGGGGGCGGCGGGAACAAGGGAGAAGAGAATGGTTCAGTTGGTTTGGTGGTGTGTTGACTCCCGCTGCCGCACGTGCTTGCTCATCGTCTTGATCAGCTGCACCACCTGGTAGTTGATGAGAGAGAGTAGAGGACGAAAGCGGAGGAGGAGAAAGGGTGGGGGAGATGTAGTGGAGCGTACAAGAGAAGGTGCTCGCTCAAAAGCGTAATCAGCTGAAGCAGTTTACACGCTCTCTGATCATATGCCACCTGAATATACGTGCTCTCACGCTACCTGCTTAGGAAAGCTCCTTCATGAAGATGCTGTCGGGGAACTTGTTATAGGTCGGCAGCGCTAAAGCCACCTCCTCCTCCTTCCACAAGCACCCCTGCTATCACGAGAGCAAGTTACCTGCATCAGCTTTGCACCTGGTTAGCGTGCCGTGAGTCTGTTGACTTGAACGAGAGCTCCTTGATGAAGATGCTGTCAGGGAACTTCTGCATGGGCAGGTCGGCGGCGCTGAAGCCAGCACTGGGCACGTTGAAGATGATGCGGATGTAGATGTGCCCTCCGTCCTGCTGGCTGGTCACGTTGCGGATCATGCACACGTGGAACGGCACGAGCAGCCCGTATATGGGGAGTAGGACGGACTCGTGGCGCTGGTCCACCTGGGAGAGAGGAGGGGCAGGGGAGAGAAGAAGGGGAGAGACGACGGGAGGGAGTGAGAGCGGTGGGAAAGCGGGTGGAGGAGAGAGAGGTGTGCATGCGGGTGAAGCGGCACGTAAAGGCCGTGACATATCTGGAATAGCATTGTTCACATCACCATACGCCTGCTCCTTACCCCAATTAAACTAATAAAAATAACTACTAAAAAAAAAAAAAAAAAAAAAAAAAAAAAACTCTCCTTTTTTTCTCCTCTTTTCCTCCTCCCCCCACCACCTGCTCCCCCACCATCCCCATCCTCTCTCCACTGCCTCCTACCTGAATCTTGTAATCCTTCATTGCAAGGGGGATTTCATCCACATCGCCGTACGACACCAAATCCCCCGTCTGCCTCTTCGCCCCCTCGCCCTCAATTCCTCCCCACTGCCTCCCTCCCATCCCATCCCATCCCATCCCATCCCACCCACCTGGATCTTGTAATCCTTCATCGCAAGGGGAATCTCGTCCACATCGCCGTACGACACCAGGTCCCCCGTCTGCCTCTTCGCCCCCTCGCCCTCACGTGCACCCAGCCCCCCCGCAGCCAGCCGCCGGGCCGTCTCTTCAATCTTCTGCTTCGCCAGCTCCGCCTGGTGCTGCCGCCGCAGCTCCTCCTTTGTCGCCTCTTGGTTCTCCGACCGCAGGTGAGCACGAGCGAACACAGCGGGTTCTCCTGCCCCTGCTGCTTCTGCCGGCCGTTTCCCCTTGTCTGCCTCCTCCTCCTCCTCGTCTTCTCCCTGGTACAACACACGAGCAAGGCAGGTGGGGAGGTGGGGAAGGGGAGGGGAAGATGCGGAAAGCACAGCATTAGATGCTCATTAGAATCAGCCTGGTGCTGCCGCCGCAGCTCCTCCTTTGTGGCCTCCTGGTTCTCCGGCCGCAGGTGAGCACGAGCGAACACAGCCGGTTCTCCTGCCCCTGCTGTCTCTGCCGGTCGCTTGCCCTTATCAGTGTCCTCCTCGTCCTCGTCTTCCCCCTGGTACGTTGGGAATGGGGTTAAGGGAAGGTGACGGGAAAATGAGCTGCCGGGCCGTCTCTTCGATCTTCTGCTTCGCCAGCTCCGCCTGGTGCTGCCGCCGCAGCTCCTCCTTTGTGGCCTCCTGGTTCTCCGGCCGCAGGTGAGCACGAGCGAACACAGCCGGTTCTCCTGCCCCTGCTGTCTCTGCCGGTCGCTTGCCCTTATCAGTGTCCTCCTCGTCCTCGTCTTCCCCCTGGTACGTTAGGAATGGGGTTAAGGGAAGGTGACGGGAAAATGAGCTGCCGGGCCGTCTCTTCGATCTTCTGCTTCGCCAGCTCCGCCTGGTGCTGCCACCGCAGCTCCTCCTTTGTGGCCTCCTGGTTCTCCGACCGCAGGTGAGCACGAGCGAACACAGCGGGTTCTCCTGCCCGTGCTGCTTCTGCCGGCCGTTTCCCCTTGTCTGCCTCCTCCTCCTCTTCGTCTTCTCCCCTTCTCTTCGATCTTCTGCTTCGCCAGCTCTGCCTGGTGCTGCCGCCGCAACTCCTCCTTCGTAGCCTCCTGATTCTCCGACCGCAGGTACACCCACCCACCAAAACACGACCGGCCACCTTCCGCTGCTACGACTGCTCCTTCACTTCACAGTCCCACCCCCCTGAACCCCCCTGAACCCCCCTGAACCCCCCTGAACAGGGAGCACGAGATCTACAGTCCCACCCCCCTGAACCCCCTAGTCCCTTGACTCCAAGTTGTTTGCACATACCTTGAGGGAGTATGCCACATCAGCAAACGACTTGGAGGCAGAGGCAGTGGCGACGTCCACCCAGCGGTCCTTGTCAGCAGCGCCCCTCACCGCCACCGTGTCCGCCACCAGCAACGCATACTTCCTCAGCTTCGCACTCCCCCCCTTCCCCTCCTTGCCCCCGTCCTCCCCCCCGTCCTTCCCCCCATCCTTGCCTCCCGCGCCCTCTGCGTTTCCGTTCGCCTCGGCTCCATCTTCCCCCCCGGCCTCGGGGTTGGTGAGGCCGTGCAGCCCCAGCACCACGTTGAACGCCATGCCTGATTTCACCGTCCGCTCGTTCTTGGCGTTGAGAGTGAGTCCAGCCTCTCGAAACTCTGACAGGGCAGCACAGGGAAGCACAGGGAAGCACAGGGAAGCACAGGGCATGAAAGGGGGGCAGTGTGAGGCCGTGCAGCCCCAGCACCACGTTGAAGGCCATGCCTGATTTCACAGTGCGCTCGTTCTTGGCGTTGAGGGTCAGACCGGCCTCTCGGAACTCTGCAGGGCAGAACACGGCAGCACAGGGCAGTACAGGGCATGAAGGGGGCTGTGTGAGGCCGTGCAGCCCCAGCACCACATTGAATGCCATGCCTGATTTCACTGTCCTCTCATTTTTGGCGTTGAGAGTGAGACTGGCCTCTCGAAACTCTGCAGGGGAGCACAGCACAGGGAAGCACAGGGCATGAAAAGGGGGGCAGTGTGAGGCCGCGCAGCTCCAGCACCACGTTGAATAGCATGCCTTTTCGCACTGTCCTCTCATTCTTGGCATTCAGAGTCAGAGCAGCCTCTCGGAACTCTGCATCGAGTGGATCAGAGACAAACCAGCTTGGAAAGAGGGACGAGAGTCCAAGCAGAGGTGAAGGAAAGTGGAAGGGTTCAAACCACCTGGAGGTATAAATCCTCCAGGTGCGAAAACAAATGCCTGACCCTGCACACCTTCTCTGAATGCTGCATATCCCTGCAACCGCTTCTCACCGATGCCTATGCCAGTGCCGGCGTGTTTGGTGAGATGAGGCACCAGCTCTGGCGCTTCCCTCTCTACCACTGCCACTGCTGCCCGGTACACGTCCCCCAGCCGCACCCCCGGCTTGATCGCCGCAATCGCCGCTTCCTGTGCTCGCAATAGCACCTGGTGGTGTGGTGGGTGGGAGGTAGAAGAGTTCCGAAACGCCTTTACAGCAGCACCTGGCAATACATTCTTTGAAAGATACAACTCAGAACCCAGCCACACCCCCAGCCTCATCACTGCAATTGCTGCTCCATGTGCCCTCGGCAGCATTTGATGACAGTTTTGTGAGATTGCTCCCAAGAAGTACAATCAGCAATCTAGAAAACCACCTGTCTAGAAATTGGCCAAAAAGGAATCAAGACTCCAACTCAAAGTTCCAACTCAACTCTACTGGTACGCCTGCTGCCATTCCCCTCACCTGGTACGCCTTCTCCTGTGCTTTGGTAGCGTCTATGAGGTAGGTGCGGGCCACATTGGAGCAGTAGGAGGCGTATCTGGCACCGATGGCACAGATGATAACACCCATGGAGTCGTAACACAGGGGGTCGTCGCTGCTCACTGCTGACGCCCTCAGATCGTACTGGCCCCCGCTCTGGATGGGTTGAAACACAGGGAAGGGGGAGGGGAGAGAAGGAGGGCGAGAGGGGATGGCGCAGATGATGACGCCCATGGAGTCGTAACACAGGGGGTCGTCACTGCTCACTGCTGACGCCCTCAGATCGTACTGCCCCCCGCTCTGGGTGGGGTAAAGCAAAGGGGGGTGGAGGTGGAGGGAAGAGCAAAGGAGAGCGGGAGAGGGGAGGGCGCAGATGATGACGCCCATGGAGTCATAGCACAACGGGTCGTCGCTGCTCACTGCTGACGCCCTCAGATCGTATTAGCCTCCGCTCTGCCAGGGGAGGGTTGATTGAAGCAGGGACGGAATGGTGGGAACGGAAGGGATGTAGTGGAAAGGGGGGAGAGTGAGTGGTGATGGAGCGGAGGGGATGAGTTCATCTGAAATACCCAGACGACGGGGGTTTAGCAGCACATGCAACATGCAGTTACCTGGAAGACGGGCGGGTAGCAGATGTCGCAGTTGTCGGGTTTGAGCTTGACTTTGATCTTGGCGGGGTCGGTGATGACCTCCTCTGTCTGCTCCATCAGCTCCGCGTGCGTCATGCTGCGCTCCTCGTCTATCAGCACCTCCATCTTGGGTACCACGAACGCCTGAGAGGGGAGGGGGAGGGGAGTGGAGGATGGGGAGACTGAACAAGGAGGGGGGGGGAAGGGTCGAGCTGCGCTCCTCGTGCATAGGCGCCTCTTTTCTCGGCACCAAGATTCTCTCCACCGCATCACACCCCATCGCATCTCATTCCACTCCAGCCCAGCAAAAAATCCCACCATCCACTCTCAACCCTATTCCCATCGCCGCCAACCCCATCCCGTTCCACCCCACTCCACCCAACCCCATCCCATCCAACACTATCCAACCAACCCACCCCATCACACCTTGAGCACCTGCGCGCTAAGAAACGCGGCCTTATTGATATTAATCACCTCGCCCTCATCCTTCACCGCCAGCACATCCCTTCTTCCATCCACACCCACCGCATACCAACCCATCCAACCCCACTCCATCCCACCCCACCCAACCCCACCACATCCAACCGCACTCCAACCCATCCCACACATCCACCATCAACCCACCTTGAGCGCCTGAGAACTGAGAAACGCGGCCTTCTTGATATTGATCACCTCGCCCTCATCCTTCACCGCCAGAACATCCCCCAGCGCAGGACCCACGTCCACCGTCTCCAACCCCTCTCCACCGCTCTCCCCGCCCTCGCCCCCACCCGCTGCTGCCTCCACTGCCGCCGCCCATTTCTCCATGATCGCCCCCTCTGGCGCCTCCTTTGCCAGCACGCCCAGCCGCACCGGACCTCCGTCTGCCGAGCCTGCGCCGGAGGTACGGATGGCGTCGATGACCTGTGTCATCTGGGAGGACCCGTCCTCGCTGCGAGGCTTGGGGTGCAGCACCATCTCCACTCCGCCTGGCGCGGAGGAGGGAGGGGGGAGGGGGAGGGGGACGGAGGGAAGGGGGGAAGGGGGGAATCGGCAGAGGCTTCTAAGGACGGAGTACTGGCTGTCCTCGCTGCGAGGCTTGGGGTGCAGCACCATCTCCACGCCTGGCGCGGGGAAGGGGGAGGAGGAGGGGGAAGGGGGGGGGGGGGGGGGAGGGGGAAGGGGAGGGGGAGGGGGAAGGGGAGGGGGAGGGGGAGGGGGAAGTCGAGGGAGGGGAAAAGGGGAGGGTGGGGGCAGGTAGAGACCGTCTAGAACGGAGTACTACTGGCTTGGGGTGAAGCACTATCTACACGCCTGACTCGGGGGGAGGAGGTGAGGAGCTGGAGAGAGGAGAGTTGGAGAGAGGAGAAGGGTCGGTGATGGTGGAAAACTCCGCTGGCTGGCCTCGCCTCCGGGTCTGGTACGACAAATATTGAAATCGCCTACTGACTGGTCACTTAGGGTGGCCGGTCACTTCAGGTGTACATACATACTCCATCGTCTGCCCTCACCTCTGGACACCGGTTTCCTCTTCTCCCTTCCAATCCCCCTCCCCGCCTCACACAACCCTTTCCACTCTCCCTTGACTCTCGGACTAATCCCTCCCTGGCAATCTCTCCGCCGTACCGGATTTCTCCGCGCACACGCGCCTGACGGCCTCCAGATGCTGCGCCTTCTTCTGGCTGCACACCACGTGCACCGCTCCGCCGCCTCCGCCGCCTTCCCCGCCGGCTCCCCCGCCCAGCAGAAACACCATGACGGTCTCCGGGAATTCGTAACCCAGTAACCAGATCTGCAGCGCCGACGACTTGAGGTATCGCATGTCCTCGCTCGCCGGCGGAGTCGCGACGGCGAACGCGCTCGTGTTACCCCACGAACGGCTTTCGTCCTTTCGCCAGCTGTCGTAAAGAAGCTTCAGGCGTCGACCGAACGTGTCCAGATCGAGCTGTAACCCGCTTCCGCCGCCGCCGCCTCCGGAGGGTTTGGAATCTCCCATCACGATCGTCTAAGAACTTGTATGAGGATAATTGGTTGTCTGAGTATCAATCTCCAGATATTCTGCTTGAAGTGGTAATGTCCAGGTACTAAGGCTGTCTAGACAGTAGTATTCAAAGATTCGATGGCTAGGTATGCCGAATTTCTTATGTTCAAGCGCGAAAGCCTTTCTTTCTCAGGATCTGCTTGTTGCTGAGACGCCCAGACTTCGATCGTAAATGCTTCACAGAGCCTGGTTACAAGCCCTGTCAGGCTTGTTGATACACCAGATTCCTTTGTCTCGGCCAAGAAGTCGTAATTGTCAACAGCTAACCGCTCGTATGTAATCGGAAAAGCCTCAGGCACTCAAAATCAGTCGTGGACGTACGTACGTATATGTCTCCTGCAACGAAGCAACAGTGAAACTAAATAACCGAGCTTTAATCTGCGAATAGGAGTCGGCAAAACTTGGTTCCTCGAATGTTGCGTGAATATGTAGAAACCCCGTCAGCGCGTCCCACCACCAGCTGCAGCGAAAACACGAATCCCTACATGGAGCAGCTAGAATAGTACTCAAGCCTTAGTTAATGGTGAGCTAATATGGATCCTAGGGACTTCTGCTGGGGAAAGAAGTTTGAGCGGAAGCACTGAGACGAAATTACTGGCAAAAGAACCGTGCGTGTGCGAACGGGTTGAATTATTTTGCGAAAAATAGGACCAAATGTTACACATGAAACCCAAGGGTTTATATGACGGTTGATATTTGAACACCTTTATTTAATAGAAAAATGGCTCGGCACCTTATACACATTAAATTACAACCAAATAACAAATCATAAATAGTAGCTGCCCTTCAGGCAAGCAAAAAGAGTGAGAACATTCTAACCAGTAAGGACTTGATTGTCCTGGAAAATCACATCAACAACTTGGATGAAATGGTGGCATTAGCGTTCCACGAAGTTTTAACGAGGATGATCTGAACCGCACCCCCCAAGCGTGCAGGAGGCACGCGCCACGCTCGGGTAGAGACCAGTCAGTACCCATCTACACCGAGCGGACAACAGTAGCGAGGCGCGATAATAAGTGGCCCTGCGCGGTCCGCAACACGGCAAGGCTCTCCGCCTTGATCCGCGCGTCCATCGCGGTATTCCTCTCCAGCTGAACCACCGCAGACTGAAGCTCAAACAGCATCTTCTTCACAGCAGCAGGACACGTTACGTCAATCCCAAGGGCGGAGCTTGCGGAAGGCACGGAAGCAGATGCGGATGAGTCACGTCGAAAGAAGGATGACTCAGCCTGTGAGCCTTCAGCTTCAATATCTCTCAGTTCCGCAGATTCAGGGTCGTTGCTACACACGGAAGCGGTATCGTCGTCAGTTTCTGGAGAAAGAGACGAGACACGGCGCGAAACTGCTGCAGCTGCCGTCGCCGTCGGAAGCGCTTCAGACGCCACCGCGGCTCCCAGGTTCTGCTTCTGCCTCTGCGCTTGCTTGAACGCAGCGAACAGCTGAAGCGCCTTGCGCGCCGACGGCTGCTGCGCGTCGAGCTGCGCATGGAGAAACAGAAGGAACCCGTTCACGTCGTTTCCAAACTCCTCCTTCATCGCGACTCGATCCCTCAGCTTGCCCACCGCCGCATCCCACTGCGCGAGATTCGCGGGCGGCAGAGAGCCACGCAGCGACGACGTCAGCCTGTCGTACTTTACGAGCCGCTCCGCCACGTCAGCGTCGCACGGAAGCACCGCTGGGAGTCCCGACGCCGCGGCACCGACTTCGAGCGCATTTGACGGGACTTGCAAGGGGCATTCTGAGAGGAGGGTGGTCCGAAGCTGGCTGGTAACCTCCTCGTCGAGACGGGCTGCGGCGTGCGAGCGCTTCACGGCGCGTCGGAGGGCCTCCACAGGCGGGAGCGGACAGCGCGCGGGATGAGCGGCGGGAGCTGCGGCGGGAATTGCTGCAGGAACTGGCGGATTGGTCCGCCGGAGTGGACTGGCGCTGATGACACGCGGAATTGGGGAAATTACGTGGGCGGGGGATTGGGCTTGCGGCTTGAATCGGCGGAGCATTGCGAGGAAGGGGAGCGCGGCATTGGTGTTGTCGTCACACGGCGAACGTTCCAAAATCGCGCCGTTACACGGCGGGCACGGTGGGGGAGAGGCGATCGGAGTAGAGGATAGGCTGAGCGTAGTATCGAGGAGAGCCGCTGGAGGGACGGAGATGGGGGACGATGAGAGGGATCGAAGACGCTTGCTTGCGTGCAACGAGTCCGCGAAGAGCGGGAAACCTACAGCGGGTAGAGGCTCCATGGCAGGAGCGAAAGGGAGGAACGCGCGGAAGTGCGTGTGGTCTGGAGTGGGTGAGTTGAACTGGAGAGCCATGGACATTGGCGAAGTATGGGTGGGTTCGGTTCTGAATAAGAACGCGTGGAACGGAAACTCTCGCAGGTTTCGGATTGTGCGAGCGATGGTGCAAATTCGATGGGTGGTGAGATGATGGTAGAAGCGAGTGGGTTTTATCCAGGAGACTCTTGAGGTGGGGGAGAGTCAAAGAGGGGCGTATGCAGGTTTGCTTGCATGGATGTTGCACATGTTTCTGCTCGTCGTGTCTGTGTGTGAGTTCGGTTCCAATGCCAACGCGCTGCTGGGCTGTGCGTGGAAGGGGCACAGCGCGGACCGGAGGGATGTGTGCACAGTACAGCACAGCAGAAGCCCACGTCCTTCGTCATGTCAGCATGTGGAAAGGAGAAAAAAAATGTGCTTAGTGGTGTAGAGAGGTATAGGTGAGTGAGCTGCGGTGCGAAGGGAGTGGAGGAGGTTGTGGAGGGCGTCCTTCCGGTTGGTGGAATGGGCATTGGCCATTCTCCTCTCACACCGCATCACCGAGAGGAATTTTTTTCGAGTCCGAGACTTTCTGACTCAGGAAGTGGGGGCACCCGGAAACTTAATCTGGTGCCCGACATACCATCCTCATGGACTCTGCTCTTGCACCCCTTGAGGCCATTTACGAATACAATCTGCAGATAAACAAGGACAGAAAACTTACACTGCCCTAGAGTGACAGCGTTATGCGTTGTCGGCGTATGGAATAATGGCAGCGTTGATGTTTCTAGATGCACGCTTCGTTTCCTTCGCCTTGCTGGATGCGGTCCTGCTGCTCGTGTGGCTGGCTGAAGCGTGTGTCTTCACTGCTCCCCGCCCCTCAATGTGTGGTTAAATCTCCGATAGAAATTGGATCGCAGAATCGAGGTCACTTGCGACTCTTTTTTGCTGCTTGATGAGCGGCTTCTGCAACTCGACCATCCTCTCGCATTCAGCGCTGGATTGGAAATGAAGGGAGCTACCACTGTTCAGAAATCTTCTAACAAACATTCATCGGACGTGGCGCTTCGAGTCGGATCTGATCATGGGGGGAGGAAAGCGTGCGAAGGAACTTTTCGCACGCCTGACTCCAACACCACAAAACACCATGCTTGCTGACTCAGCATACCAATGCGCTGGCGAGCCAAGGGGGACACCTATCTTGCGCTGGATTCCAGTCCAGCGCCAACGAGTGAAAGTTGGGTGTTGGGGACTCGGGGATTGGCTTAGGTGTGGTGTGGAATGAATAGAAAAATCTGGGGATAGCGTATGGTTCAAAGCTTGTTCAACTTGCTAGAAATTAATGGATGGGGACAGGGAGGGAAGAAAACTTTTCGCGCAATATCCTTGTCAGCGCGAAGAGCACGTATAGCGGGCCGTTGAAGCATCCAGCGCGCGATGGTAATAGCCAATCACAAACCGCGAGGCAAGGCGACCACGTGCTATGGAGGTGCAGTGTACGGCTCGTTACGGTACAGTGTCTACCCTCGCATAAGGGCGTGTCTGAAGTGAATTTCGACGTTTGCCGACGAAACTTTCGTCGACGTTCCTTGACGAAACTCGACATCCGTTTTCAGCTGTGTTCACTTCAGACACCCACACGACAAAATAACCCACACGTGCCATAGGAACACTGTTATAAGTTGCCCATGAAAATTCGACGTGGAATTAACAGAATCATTCATGTAACTCAATCGTTTGCAATCTCGCGAATTTCGCTTAGCATAGATTGTTGCTGGTAACACCGGATATTCTACTGTCACATTGCCAGCGAAATTTCTCTAGCACGTGTCGCTCTCGTCTTAGTTCTTATTCACGTGTGTTTGCCACAGCTATGCAGACATGGCGTGTCGAAGAATTGTTTTTGAAACACTCACTGACTACAGTGACTCAAACAGCTGCCCGGTATCACTGTTCGACATCCCTCGACATGTGCACGAACGTCGAGTTTCGTCGAGGGATGTCAGGCTGCACTTCAGACACCAACAAGCGTGGGTCCCACGGATGAGTTTCGTCGACGAAATTTGACGAAACTCGACGTTTGCACTTCAGACACGCCCTAACAGAACCTAGACAAGACACCACTGGCCATTTGAAATCCCAGTCTGGAGCCGGCGCGTAAATTTCTTGCGTTTGAATGCGGTTCAATGTACAACTGTCACATTAATGTTTTGGTCGGGAAGTGTATTGAGCGAATATGCCCGCCCTTATTACACGACTATCATGGCTATCATTAAGCTGCTGTCATTAACATTCTGTGGTTGTAAGTTTTAGACCCACCATAGAAATGTGCTATCTGCACAACAACTGCACTACACTTCCTGCACTGTCAAACGTTCTGCGTCATTGAATTATTGCATCTGTGTGATGCCTATACCGTATGCATGGAAATTGCAACAAATGAATCATTCTCATGGTATTTTGGAGTAATGGCACCACCTCCACTGCCGTGCATTGCTGCTAACCTTCAAGCATACATTTTGCTGGTCCCACTAGTGTAGCACGCTGCTTCCACTGTTGCCCTAAGCTGCCCAGTACAGCAAACAAGCTTAATCCTACACTTTTCGAACCTAATACTGGCAGTGCGTTAACACAATTGCCACGAAGGCTCTCCGTGCATTGAATATCTCAAACTGTCAAAACTGTGCCACACTGAGATACATCAATTTACTGGTTCCATTGCTGCTCTGACCCCTGGTGCTGCTGCTGCGTTAACAGGTGAGCTTGCTGCAAGAGGTCAGGCACTTGCTGCTGCTGCTGCTGCTGCTGTTGATGTTGGTTTGAGAAACTGGGCATGCCAGAATACTGCTGCTGCTCCTGCGCCTGCTGCTGCATTAACATCTGCTGCTGCTGTTGCTGCATCTGCTGTTGCTGCATCTGCTGCTGCTGCATCTGCTGCTGCTGCTGCATCTGCATCTGTTGCATCTGCATCTGCTGCATCTGAATCTCCTGCTGCATGTCGATCTGAGCCTGCTTCATCCTAGAATACTGCGCCCGTCCCTCCACCGAATGAGCCATAGCCTGCATTCGGCTCACCGCCAGACTCACCTCTCTCTCCTCCCCATCCCCATTACCACCCCCCATCTCCCCACCCTCACTCCCGTACAGCGCACCATCCGCATCCGAGTGGCAGTCTCCCTGCTGGGCTCGGAGCCCCCGCACGCCGCTGCGGCGGAACCGCCAGCGCAGGACCGCCTTGGCGATGATCCCCAGGCCCCACTTCATCTTCTTGTACTTTACTCGCTGGATGTGCCCCTTCACGTGCGCCTGGGGGGAGGGAAGAGGGAGGGGGGGAGGGTAGGAGGATGGATATACACATTGCCTTGGCGATGATCCCAGCCCCACTTCATCTTCTTGTATTTCACCCGCTGGATGTGCCCCTTCACGTGCGCCTAAGGGGTTGGGGAATTGGACTATTTCTCTACTTCCCGCTGCTATCCTACCACTCATCCTCTACCAGTCACCCTACAAGCCACCACCCTCACCTGAATCTTGATCACGCGCTGCCGCATGCGCAGAAACTCCCTGCGGTGCTTCCACGTGCGGAAGGTGCACATCATCACTCGCTCCACAACAGAACCATTCGCCCTGCCACTAACCCTACAAGTCACCACCCTCACCTGAATCTTGATCACGCGCTGCCGCATGCGCAGAAACTCCCTGCGGTGCTTCCACGTGCGGAACCGCCTCTGAATGCTCCTCGCAGCCTCCGACTGCTTGAAGGTCTTGTGCCCTCGGAACGCGTTCTGAATCTTCCGAGCCGCCACCAGCATCCTCGCCTCCTCCTCATCCAACTCATCGTCCCCTCCGATCCCCAGCCCTGCCGCGGCCTCTGCTGCTGCCGCCACTGCTCTCTCTTGCTCCCGAAGCTCCTCCTCCTCCTCCTGCTGCTGCCTCCTTCGCTCTGAGTGTTTCCTGAACCGCTCCTGGATCAACGCTGCGGCCTGCGCCGTCCTTCGAATCGCATCCAGCGTCTCTTGCATGTCCGGCGATGCAGCGACAGAAGCGGGACGAGCCGACCCAGGGAGACCACCAGCAGCAGCGGCAGCAGCGGCAACAGCACCAGCACTGCCACCACTGCTGGCACCTGCTGCTGCTGCTGCTGCCATGGCTGCGTGGCCGGCAGCAGCGGCGGATTGGAGCAGAGAAGGGTCGGTAGCCAGCTGATGCTGGTCCTGAATGGTCATGGAGGAGAGGGAGGCGTTGAGGGAGGACTCGGCTAGATAGGCCGCGATGCCTGTGTGCCCGCACGCGCATGCTGTGTCTGCTGCTGTGCGCTCTGCCCCTCCCACTCGCGCCAGCAGAGTCGCGTTGGCGCCCGCTGCCACCAGCGCCACCACCATAGCTTCCCTGCAGGAAGGTGGGCGGAGAGGAGGGAGTGGGGCAGGCAGGGATGGGATGAGGGAAGGAGAAGGGGAGTGCAAATGGCAGTCTCAATTCAGTGGTGGGAAGGAGCGATGAGGAGCGGAAGCAGTGTGTTTATCTGCCTCTGCGTGCTCCTTATCCCTCACCTCCCCTTGTCTCCTGCTTATCTCTCACCTCCCCTTGTTTCCTCCCTTCCAATCTCTAACCTCCCACTGTTCCTTCCCTCCTATCTCTCACCTCTTCTTGCTTCCTTCCCTCCACATATCCCACACCAACTCACCTCCCTTTAGCAGCAGCCCAATGCAGCGCAGTGCACCCCCTCCTGTCTCTTGCGTTCAAGTCCCACCCCACAGCCATGAGCAGAGGCACAGCCCACGGCCACCCCAGCGCAGCCACCAGATGCCCCAAGCCCAGCCCCATGCCCCTCCTGCCCGCCTCCCTCGCTGCATCGCTGTTCAGCGCCAACCAACGGCCCAGATGCTTCCGCATCAGCGCCTGCAGCAGCACGCCCTCCAACCGCACTGGACTCCCCTGGACACCCCCCACTCCTCCATCCACTCCTCCTCCTCCCCCTGCCGCTCCTCGTCCTCTCTCTGTATCGGCCCCTCCTTGACATTGCAGCCTGAGAGCATACTCATCTGCGTCCTCCTCATCGCTCCCAT